ATGTTACGGGGGCCCCTCTTCTGGTGCATTTCGACCGATTTGAGAGTGAATGCGTGGGTGATGGATAGATCCAGAGCGCGCGCTTGCGTGTATATACCTATATACACACGTATATGTATGTGTGTATAGCCACCGATCTACTCGGCTCATTGTCCTGCGCATTTTTCTCTCCCCCCTCCCCCCCACACACCCCAAATAGGAGCGGGGGTGTGCGCTTAGACATACATATATACCTAGAATACGGGGATCGGTGTTGCGCAATATCTCATTTTCTCATGGAAAACCGGGGCATTGTATATCACGTATACACAGGGCTCAGTTTGGCGTGCGTTGCTGCGATTACTCAGTGCTCCGGTCAGCTTCCTTCCTTCCCTCCCTCTATGACCATCCCCCGTTCCACCCTCGACTCTTGACGTCGGCTACCATTGTCTTTTCAAGTTTTTCTCTGCGAATCCAGGGGCCATGGGAAAATTTGTCAACACGCGTGTGCGCGCGGAGGCGTTGATTGGGTGTGAAAACGCCTGCAGGAGGCGACCTCCCTCCCTCCTTCACGGGGAGCCTTTGTCGCTGGAGTGGTTCGTTATATTGCCCGCGGTGTACTCGAGATTATCCGTGCATGTGTATCGCTTTATTGCCCGAGCCGTAAATTTTCGCCGCCGGACAGTTCAATTTTCCACCGTAAGATCCCCAAATTGCTGGGAAAATCGTATACAGCCCCAGGGGCCCCGGATGGATCTCTCAATTTCGCGATGATAATGGCGTGACTTTCGTCACCTACGCCCTCCGATCGTGAGATCGGCGTCGCAGCTGCGCCAAACAAACGTTTCAGTGGAAGCAACACACAACTATCGCTTACGCACAGCGAAAGTGCACCCTGTTTTTACATCCCCTTCTGGGATATGACGTCCCAACGAACGAAAAGAACCTCGATGGCTTCCTTCTTGAGCGTCAGCGTCGAGACCTAAAGCTTCTTGCAGCCAACATCATGATCATCATCACCATCGTCAGCCAATCGCGAGGCTCCATCCATTGCCTCTGTCTCTATGGATGTATATGTGTGTATATCTGTACGATATACCTGTAAGGCACCTCTGTACGTTGAACGAAAAAAAAATATATATCCGACTGTTACCTCGTTTGCTTGTTTTTTTTTTTTTTTTTTCATTTCACGAATATCAGTTTGGAAGAGAGGAGGGAAGGCCGCAAAAAGTACGTTGACTCCGGTTAACACCGAAAAAACACGACCTCCACGAGCGCTAGTGCAAAGGTATATTTCCGTGCCTCCTCTCTTCATTTGTTTTCTGTCGCACTCGGCAATTTCGCACGCGTTTGTCTCTCGGTGCGCGCGTTTCTCGATCTGCAAAGAAAGAAGAAAAAAAAAAAAAAAAAAAAAAAAAAAACAGGTGATAGGCCATGGGACCAGCGAAAAAGTGGGAAAGTGACGGTTACGCTTACGCGCCTCATCTCTTTTAGGGAAAGGGCGCGCGCAGCATTGCCACGTTACCCAACAAAAGTCATAACGTTTTTTTTTTTCCTCTTTCTCTCTGTACCTACATCATGTTATTTATATTTATACGTATACACGCACCGAGACGGCGGTTTGAGGTGTACAGGTGAGCTGTTGTAACGTATACGTACGCCAAAAAAAATATATGTATATAAAGTCGCACGGGTGATAAAGACACGCCTCGCGTTGTCAAAGGGTGCGCGATGCGTGTGAGCTGAAATGAGGAGAAATCACCCCAAAAAATAAAACGCCTAGCCTTTCAACTACGTGTTATGGTGTATACCTATTATAATATACGGTAGCTGCAGCGGCTTTGCTTTTTGCCCCCAATTTTCGGTCTTCGACTTCTTCTCTCACGAGTTTCAAAGTTTCTAATTCGTTGGAAATCGGGGAAACGGCTATGGGTTGCCCGCAAAGTGGCTCACGCGAATAAGGGGTTTACCGATCGTTGCGTGATATTTTTTACGAGAATCGGTGGGAACGGGTCGAATAGCTTGTTTTTTTTTTTTTCCAAGCCTTATACACGAAAATGAAAATTGTCGAGGCAACGAATTTAGGATTATTTTATCTTTTGGTTTCACCGGATCGATTTTGATCATAAACCACTTTGGAGGGACGTTTATCGTGCATCATCATCAAATTGAGCAAAAATCGAATAAAACCATCGATCTGATTCGTGAAGCAGAATCAATGTATATTTTCCTCTCGGCGTCGTTGCACTCAAGGCGTCCATGTACGTATAACACGCACACGAAGAGAGCGAGAGATACAATGTATCCTCCGGCATCTTCGAGCCATTGTCTCCGTCCTCCCTCGGAGTTTCGATATTCTAAGGGGAGCGCGTATATATATATATGTAGGAGCACTACCTGTACCCCCGAGCCTCTGACCCGCACCAGTATAGCTTTTTTACGATTTCGAGAGAATCTGCATCCCAGGTACCCAACACCGGCCTGCTATCCTGCATCACGAACAGAGAAAAAAAACGAAACGATGGGACGCTATGCATACACGCATCGCTATACACTGCACCGAAAAAATAAGAGTAGGGGAGGATAGATCCGACCCTACCTATACGTGCGTTTTAGCTCCCAAAGAGATATTCCGCCTGATCGCAGGAAACTTTTTTTTTTTTTTTTTTTCACTATTTATCCCGTCGCTTCCCCGCTTTTACGGATTTTACATCCCCCTCGCGAGCGAGCTCATCGCCGGGCTACCTGCGCGTCTGATGCATTATGATTATTATTTTTTTTCCTTCTTTTTTTTACAACACGCATCGGGACATCGCTCACTTTTTGGCGTTTTTTTACCCCAAAACTACTCACGTCCTCCTTCCTCCCCCCAATGCATGGGAACGCGGCTCATCTTGTCACGCAAAAGTATAGGTACGCGTACTTTTTTACTTTACACGAGGGTTGGGGGGTCGGCTCGATCTTTTTTTTTTTTTTTCTTTCCTTCCTTTTTTTCCACAGTTCCGCGCGTGTTTGGGTGTCGCGCTGACCCTTCCGCAAAAAAAAAAACTCACACGTCACTATCTCCACCGAACTTTCCCACAGGGAGGTCGAGCTTGCTCTCCCTGTTTTTTGGAAATTAACAAAAAGAAGCCGAAGGGAACCGATTACGCACGCTCGCCTTATTTTTCTCCTTGCCATGTATACCTAAGGACGGCGATGGCATTTCGGGAACTTTCTCACGTTGCGCGCGCGTACATCATACGCCTCGTACGAAAAAATGTTTACCGATCATCCGGAAAACCGGCGTCGATCGTGGTGGGAATTTCTATTCTTTTATATTTCCTCCCAAAATAACGCTCTCGGTGTCATTAATCAAGACAAGCGTCGCACGTACAGATATTGGCAAACGATAAACACGAGAGTGAAAATTCGATGATCAAAATGGCGCAGCGATCGAGCAAAAGATATATAGGAAATGAGCCGTAGAATCGCGAGAATCATCGCCGCGTTACAGAAGCGCCATTTGCCTCAGCCGAGGTGACACCCCTTTTCTCCCTCGTGTATATATTACATACCACACGCATTCGTCAAACCGCTGAGCGTCTATTATCGTATAAAAAAAAAAAGGTTACAGTCAAAGCATAACACCATTGCAACGGAAGCCGTTGCGTCGAGTTGAATTCTTCAAAAAAAGGATTACAAGAATCTCGCGCACACGTGTATACATACCTACACGAACACATTTGGCTTTAAAGAAAGAAAAATAGGCGGCGACTAGCGCATATGTATAGACATTATACAGGGGTCGCGTCGCGTACGCTGTGAGGGAGGCCCCGCGCCCATACGTTGCATATTAGGCGCGATACAGCATATAATATATATGTATATACAGGGGAGAACCGCGGTCTGAGCAAAAGGATTTTTTTACCATCAACTATTATAATGGTACCCATGTGTGTAGGTACAACTACACTTACCGGGCCAATGGTGAGGTAGAGGGGGACCGCGGCGATGGCCAATGGCTGCAACCTGGCCCAGAGAGCGAGCGGCACTAGGTGGGGCTCCGGTGGAGAGAGGGGGGGGAGAGGGTAGTTCTAGCCCTTGAGGGCCACGACGCGTTGCGTCATATGTATAAGGACGTGGACTCGGTTCGCTCGACCGACACGCGCTGCGCACTCGCTCGGCGTCGGCCCGTCCGTGAGCACACGCGCTCTGCATCCTCGCACCTATACGTATATATGTTGTACACAGTACTTACGGGGTGCATGCCCTGCGCACGTCATTTCCATAAACGGGCACTACGTTGGAGGTTTAAATATTCATCGGTGAATATTTAAGTGAAGGGTGGGGCCCGTGTTTACGCGTGATATATGCACGTGGTTGTATTTAAATGTTTTTTTTTCCTGCTGCTGTCGTGCTGTGATCAAGTGATTCGGATTTATTTTTATTTTTTCTCGATTTTTTTTTTTCCCCCCCTAACAACAAAAAGTGACGTTTAGTAATAAATGACACTGAGGGGAGTGTACAAGTCGGAAGTCAAAGTGCACCCATGTGACAGTGAAGAGTTGTTGGGCTGTGCCGTTCGTGGTGGCGAGAAGATGGTTTTCCTCGAGGAGCCGAGGATGATTTTCGCGGACATGAGGCTGCACGCCACGAGCACGCCAACGAGTACTCCCACCATATATCGGGCGCATCATCACCGCAAATATCGGCCGCAGAACAACAACAATTGTACGTTTCTTTTTGTGCCTTTTTTTTTTTTCACTTTTGCAGTTGCGTCTGTGCGATATCGCTTCAATGATCGGTTCTGTTTGATCGGTTAGGGCGTCAAGGGAAATATGAGCTGTAAAACGTTGGTTTCCATTGCGTTAGTCGTAATATTAACAAAACGACTCAGTGACCCAATATGTTTGTTTGATTCAATCTAACGATAATATTTTGTAACACCAGTACTCAAAGATTAACTTAATTCGTGCTGATGAACAATACAAAGTAAATAAGGATAAACATAAACTCGAAAAATCGTTTGGCCATTGCAGATGCCGATTTACAAGCCGAAGTGGACGCTGCCGATCTCAGCGGCGACGATCGGAGTATCGCGAGCGACGTGCAAGACGTCCACGACGTTCACCTGGATGACAACTCGATCGACTCGGATCGGGAGGCCCTCAACCTGGTAAGTGCTTATTATGATAAACCACTAAGTAGGTAGTATGTTTTATTATGTCACGCAGGTACACCCCAACCTGCGTATACATAAGTATATACTTGACGTTGAACGTCGACGGGCGTTGTTGTGTATAATGTATGTGCTAGTGGACGTACGTTGCAATGGAGAGTTGGTGTGGGTATATAATTCCGGGGTCAAGCAGGCGCGACGGCCCATGTAATGCGAAAACTAAGAGGCAAGCGCGCGCAAAAAGGGCCGGAACTGTTTTGTCAGGCCGCATATGTGCACTCGGGGTGGCGTATATATTATAGACTCGGTCACTCGAAACGCGCAAGGGTAGCCGTCGGCTCACGCATGTAGTATTGCACACACATGTACACGTGTAAGGTCAATCAGGGAGTGACTCGGGGGTCTTTGCTCGTCTCTCCCTCTTCGTACCTGCTTATTCCCGTGCGTGTGTTATGCATTATGAATCATACGCGTCGGGTCGAGTGTGTATAAATGTGCGGTCATGTGGCTTTTGTACGTACAAGAAGCAGAGGGGGACAGGTGGTGTCGTGCCATTATAATATATATAATACGTACGAAAATTAGGGGCGGCTAATTACGATCCAACAGGTGACGAAATTCCCTCCGCCTCGAAATAAACCCACCAAGAGCGAGGAGTGACAGGTTGGGAGATCGTTATCGTCGGCTCCTGTCCTTTACGTTTGCCGAACACGACGCTACTTCCCACGATTGCGTTGAGATTTCGAAAAGTAAATACATATACACGTACGCGAGCGCGTGTGTTTTTTTTTCTCTTGTTTTGTCGTTACGAAAGGGGTTGCTCGTTCGGGGGTGCGTGAGCTTTCGGTCGGCATATCGCGCCGACAAATCGTTGAATTCCGTTTGGGGGATCGGCGCAATTATCGCGATTGTCATCTATACAGGGGCCAATTCGGGCTGTGTCGGTGGGATACAGCAGTTTGCGAGGAAATTTAATTACGCGTTTTGTTGTGTAAAATTACGATTCGCGCGTAAAGTTGAAAATAACGAATAAAATAAGTACATACAGAAGAAAAATGGCCGTCGAGCATTGGGTTGGACAATGTTACCGGGAACAGCTAGATTTCAAATTGTATTTGTGTTACGGAAATGACCATCTGTCAGGTAGAGGAAAAAAGGGAGAATCTTGATCTACGGCCTCTTCCTCCGAGGAGACACGGTAGCGTAGAGTAGGAGGGAGAGCCTCGAATCGTAGAAAGAACGAGAGACAAAAGGAAGAAGAATACTCGGGTGTGCATGCATAAAAAAAAAGAAAGAAAAAAAAAAAAGGAAAGACTCGGAGAGATTCAATATTTGAGAAATAAATAAGAATGAAAGACGCGAAGGAGGAACAGAGGGAGAGAGCGCCAGTGTGAGTATGCTGTCGGGCCATTTTTATAGAGAGCACAAAAGCGCAGGAGGATGCGAAGTGACCGATGTATGTATATACTCCGGACTAGCCGAGTGTAAACAGCCGCTTTGTTCGAGATCAGCTCCTCTGGCTTCCGTATTAACGCAACGGAGGCTATGGGACGTGCGTAGCTCTGATTTCCACGGTATGCATTACGTCACGCTCGAAATTATTACGCTCCTCGGGGTCATCGCGAGACGGTTGAGTTTTCCTCTGTATGCGCGCTAAATCAGAGCCGGGGGGAAGGGGGAACTAAATATTTTGAGCAAACGCACAACAGCATGTAGAAAACAGCATCAATCGCGGGGGAGAAAAAAAAAAAAAAAAAAAAAAAAAATCACCCCGGTGGGCATTATCAGGTGACGGATGTCTCGCAGCGCAACAGCAGCAGCGGGACGAGCGGGAGCGCTTCGTCGCCGAGCTCCGGGGTGAGCAGCCAGCTGACCGGCAGCCACCACGCCGGCAACCTCAGCAGCCCCAGCAACCTGGCCGCCCAGCTCGTCGGCCAGCAGTTGCTCATGCACGGCGGCCTCGCCGGCAACCTGAGCCCCCAGGAGATACAAGCGCTCACCTCGACGATCCAGCAGCACCACCAGACCCTCACGCAGCAGCTCCAGCTGGCGATGCTCCAGGCTAATCCAGCCGCCGCCGGACAGCTGCCCCCGCAGGCACACCTACTCTTCCAGAACCAGATGAGCGTGAGTTTTTGTTTTTATCTGCCAAAAGAGATACACAATCATTAAACATTTAAGTAGAGGGGCTCTGGTGCGAGATGACATTTTTTCTTTCTCTCTCTCTCTCTCTCTCTCTCTCTCTCTCTACTATTGATAATTTTTATTATACAATTTTCTATACATTATTTTGTACTCTCGCGAATTATAATCTCAAAAAAAATAAAAAAAATTTGCCTTCATTAGCGTAAGATCGTCACGTTTAATCGCACAATCTATATCCCCTCGTGTAACGCCACAGTCTCATCTTTAGTAATATTCAAAGCAGGAGGGATCTCTTCTCAAAAGAATTTTCCTTTCTCCGGGCCTTCCACACGTATAACAAGGTGGGGGTACTGTAGCTGGCGATTCATCAAACGCCTTCAATTACCGATCTTTCCTTGGCTCGTCTGAAACGAAAGAAGAAAGAAGAAAAAAAGAAGAAAATCTTATATTACACGCGCGCAGCGTATACAATAAACGCGACAAAGTATACATTCTCGTATAGGCACACACACACCTCATTGTCTTGGCTGAGCTTGAGATTCACGCGGCGTTGATCCACGGGCTGATCCAGTGCGGTATATACGTGCGCGCGTATAGTCAAGAGAGCGCGTTGCATCGGTTGCTGCCCGAATAAAAAGGCCCAACAAAACGGCGGATTTGACGGCGCAGTCTCGAAGCAATGTTCTCCCTTCCCTCGTTCTGGTGTGGCGGACCTCTTTTGAAAAGGTATTTCCGAGGGCAATTCGTTAAGGGCGAGCCGTGGGCACCTTGCCTCGCGCCTTTGTCATGCCCCACTGCAACACGTGGCCCCGAGACTTGGTAGAGGAGGCGCAAAGGAGAAGCCGAGAAAAAGTGGTGCTTATACGCACACCTATATTGGTGTAGCGCTGTTTTTTCTCTCCCTCTCTCTGGTTTATACCCTTAAACTTATACACGTTGTCATGGATGTAGCTACAATATATTATTATACACGATGCGAGGGACAGCACGCGCTTTCCTTACATTGGATCGTGTGCGTGTCGGTATACCTACGTATATTTATACACAGGAGGAACCCCTTTTATTTGGTAACGAAAGGGAGAATGAGAGAGGGACGCGTGCCCGACGAGCGGCTTATGGATTTTCCCGGGGGCTCGCGACCGTTGCCACATACTTATTCGTGCAAGCCAAATCGCAGATACACGGGGGTAAGAACATTAGAGTTCGTTGGTTGGGCGTGTAGCTCTTCCGATGACGATTTTTCCGCGCGTCGTGCGCATAAGTAGCTCGTAAAACTCTCGCGCTTTGAAATGCTAATCGACTACTTCCCTGGAAATGAACCGACTGGATATTATGTTCTTTCGTTGGCATCGGCGCTGTTTTCCTTTGAACCTCATGCCCGTGAGGAATTTTCATGCGGACGCGTGCGCAGAGACAATGCGACTGCTGCTCGCGACGACGAAGAAACGCCGGTCCCGAAAGATGTGTGTCCTGCAATTATTATGATAATGAGGGTAGCTTCCATTGGATTATCCGACGCGTGTCCTTTCGAAAAGTTGAGGATTTTGGGTAAAAGGCGCTTGGAAATTGTTCTTGATGGATCGAACTTTTGGATTATGAACTGGCAAACAATAGAATTACAACATTTCGGGGCACAGTCAAAGTTGCATTTCTACGATATGTACGTTTGGTTTTTTTAAATAATACTCATTGTTTATAGGAAGAAAGTAGAAGTAATCACTAATAATTTTACGCGATTCAACATGAAAAACAACATGAAATGATACAGTACCGTTAATCGAAAAGAATAAAAAAGACACGCAACACAGGTACAAATGAGATTATTTGATACCATTCTATTTACATTCGTAAGCGTGTCAGAGTCACTCGAAACGTATCAACAGAAGGGGAGGAGAGAATTAACAGGTCCCGAATCGGCTCGAATTAGCCTAACGCTAACATTATATGCATGACGGATCGGAGTGGGGAAGCCGAGTCAGGTAGGCCCATTTGAATAGCGACACGCGACCATTCTATTAAAAATGCGCAGAGCTAGAAGGTGCGCACCATGCACGGTGTATACATATAAGTATGGGATCGGATCGAGCGAGGCACCCTTTCGTTCAGGGCGAGAAAGAGAGTGGCGCCCGTGAAAATACCTGCACGCGTGCTCGAGGCTCCATCGCACCTCGGCTATGCCTATTCAGCTATTCACGCGCCACGTGCGAGAGATGTAAAGTAATTCCGTGGGGTGTCTCCGTAACATAAATAAGCATACATACGTGTATAAACGTCGAAACGAGCACGCGCTCGTGAAACCCTTTCGTGATGTTTAAAAAGGGTGCCCCACCGGGGTGCGTGTGTTTCTGCGTTTTTGCGGCCCTCCCTACCTACATTATGAACTCCATAATATCTCTCGGCTTATATACATACATCTTAATAAGGGAGTCTCGACCTCTCTCCACATCTGCATGTACCCAAAGGGGTGGAACTACTACCAACACCCCTTAAAGCTTTTATGTTCATTCGATTATACAATGGGGGTTTCTCCCTTTCTTTGTGTCCTCATCTCGATTTTATTTTCCCCTTACCTGCTCTTGATTTGACACGCGACTGTACAAGTCATCTGCATCCAGACGCGTGTCATCATTGTTGCGTGAATCAGATGCGTCTTATTTCAAATCTTCCAACACATTAAGATGTTTGAAAAGGAGGTTGTCAGCAGCTCTGAAATCGTGATATCAAGCATGTCAATATGCAAATACACAATCACATTTTCTTTCCATTTTAACTCATCTCGCCCCAATCTATACCCCAAGAGTAAGTATAGTTCGTTAACAGCAAGAAAAAGAAACCCATCTAAACCTAAGCCTCACCATAGGTACACCAGGCGGTAGCTCAGGCAGCCATGCACGCCATACAGCAACAAAAACAGCAACAACAGCAGCAACATCAACAACAGCAGCAGCAGCAGCAACAACAGCAGAGTAGTGGAGGTGGTGGTCTCGTGGTCCGAAACTTGGCGCAACAGCAGCAACAACATCAACAGCAGCAGCAACAGCGCTCGCCACCACCTCCAGGAACACCACCGGCGGTCAAGCCATCGCCGGCTCGGCTCGAGCCCTCACCCGAGGAGACGACCGATCTCGAGGAGCTCGAGCAGTTCGCCAAGACGTTCAAGCAGCGCAGGATCAAGCTTGGCTTCACGCAGGGCGACGTTGGTCTGGCCATGGGCAAGCTTTACGGCAACGACTTCTCACAGACAACCATCTCCAGGTGCGAGGCATTTGCTAAAAGTAGAAAAAGCCACGAGTAAATACGCGCTTGAATAATACTGATAATCTTATACTGTTGCACGAATTTACCGTAGGTTCGAAGCTTTAAACCTGTCATTCAAGAATATGTGCAAGCTGAAGCCGTTGCTGCAAAAGTGGCTGGAGGATGCGGACAATTCGCTGAACAACCCAAACTCGCTGTCGAACCCAATGACGACGCCCGAGGCAATCGGCAGGCGGAGAAAGAAACGCACCTCGATCGAGACGACGGTGCGCATCGCCCTGGAAAAGGCGTTTGGCGACAACCCAAAGCCTACCTCCGAGGAAATAAGCGCCCTCGCCGACAGCCTCAGCATGGAGAAGGAAGTTGTCAGGGTCTGGTTCTGTAACAGGTAATTATTATTTTTTCAGCAGCCATTCTTTAAACACACATATATGTATATGCACGCAAGGGTAGCATACATAACACACACGTTTCGACGGTGATTCTATACGATTGCGAGGAATGGGAGAAAGAGAAAAGAAAAGAAGAGAGAGCGCACAAAAGAAGAGACTAGCAGAAAAAAAAACCTAACCTATATACCTATAGGCACACTTTACTCGGATTCCTCCTCCCACTGTTGTTGGTGTTGCGGTTCGTATGGGTACATATATAGCCGAGCTCTTGGAGGCGCGCCCCGCAGCTGTGGGCCGTCGTCGTCGTGTCTCTGCTGCGGGAGATGCGCTAACCGCTTATCATAAAGTATCTATGGGAGAAACATAGAGAGAGAGAGAGTCTCTCTAATTGGTATTCACGTACGCGATGGTTCTCTGAAACGTATTTTACGACTCGGACGATCTTTACGATGCTTCGCTCATGCAAAATGAATAATTCAACTTTTGCTTTACTTACTATATACGGTTTCCGTTTCTGCCGACTCGCCCTTGATCGGGTTAATACATATATATATACTTGCGCCGCAGTTATTCATCGTGATAATAATTAGTTATACGCGCGACCTTAATTGTCGCGAGGGGCAATAAAAAAATAATACTGCGAGCCCCAACGGATCGGTAGAGAGAAAAATTATAGGTATATATCACAACTTCCAAATTTTCGGAGCGCAGTCCTCGTACGAGAAAACGCGCGCTTAACGGCGCTCTCGGTTTTTTCAAACTGCAAAGATGTTCCATTCACGTACTCAACTAGTGCGAGCAAATGACTCGGCAATTCTCCCCTTCCCGATGATTTTGACTAACGATTGAATTGACTATGGATTTGAAATACGTAATATTGCACGCCCTTAAAGCCTATGAGCTCGAATTTCGCTACAATATGTAATCGAGTTTACGCAAATACTCCATTAGATCGAGTATAGCATCGGTAGGTATATAAATAGAACTGTTATACAAAGGAAACTTAAATGTTTGTGACGTGTGTGTGTGTGTAGGTATATACGACGTGTAAAAAGTGTTGTTCTTACAATTAACTGATGTGGTTGCAGGCGGCAGAAAGAGAAGCGAATCAACCCTCCAGCGGCCGTGGGCAGTCCGACGATGGCCTCGCCAGCCCCGGCCTCCATGTACGCGTCGCTCGCGAGCTCGATGTCCAACAGCCCCTTGGCCCTGACGACGCAGCAGCACTCGTCGCCCCCGAGTCTCGGGCAGCATCCACACGCGACGCCCTTGGGCTCGCCCCTGCCCCTGGCTCTGGTCAGCGGTTACGGGCACCACAGCGCCAAATCCTCGGTGCACGAGTGACACAGTGGTACCACCAAAGCCGAGCAGCAGCAGCAGCACGCTCTCTACAATGCGCTCCCTCCAGCGCAACAACAGCAGTATTCTCCCCAACTTGCGATGCACCAGCCACGACGATTGTGCAATCTGCCGGACTTTTATCACTGATGATCCAGTTGGTGCGGTTGTTGCTCACGTTCGCCGGGTCTTTCGTGCCAGTGCGTTGGCATAATATGCATGATGATATAGTTACATGCACACACGGTGTGCGGGCTGGTGCTGTGAATGCAACAGAAGAGACGATTTTAGTTTGCACGAGCAATGAATTTCTTTTCTCTCTTTTTTTTTTTTTTTTTCCACTCTTTAAATTAGGAGCGTTTCGTTGAGCTTTCGAGTGCGTTTTACTGTTCTTTTGTCATTGTATCATAGTGTGGATTTCCAACAACGCGATTGTATAACAGGAAAACTGACAGTACTAACTGTTTTTTTTGTTTTTGTTTTTTTTTTTCCGAGTGGTTCGACATTATACAGTATAACGACACACATCTTTATTTTTATGTTTTCGTGTAAATAGTGTAGAAATATGAGTTGAGCTGACACTCTCTTTTCGTTCCGCTCGGCGTGTACGATATCTGTAATTTTTATTTATTTCATTGTATTATTGTCGTTATCGGCCTTCGAACATTTAAACGTTCGAGAGTACAGGTGAGACGGTCGAACACCAAAAATTTGTTCGCTATACGTACTACTTTAAATGTTTGGGGATTTCGTCGCTGCTTTTTTTCTTATTTGTTTTTTATCATCAAAGTATTAAATTGACCACGAATAAAAAAAAAACACACGTAATTCATGGGGAACTCGCTTTGCGTTTATTTATGAATTGTACCGATGTTTTGTATCATTGTATGATAACATGGTTGAAGGGAAAAATAAAAGAGATCCGCCAAGCGAGACGAAGGTTCGAAACGACACTCGCCGTTTTGTTTTCTACGTTCGTCTCGGCTGTTGATCGGCTATTTTTTAATAAACAATGAACCACTGTACAGCGCGCTACTTCCTTTGATAGATTTGCCTACAACTTTTCGTAGGAGCTAACAACCCTTACGTTTATTGAACACCTACTTTTACTTCCCGTAGCTCCTGAAAAATGATAAACTTAAGTTCCATAAACGAAAACAGAGTGATACAAGATACACACACACACCATACACATAAACTGGATTTCATGATTATGCCAATGTATGACACATAGACGTTTTTATTGTACAAAGTAACAAATGTTGTATTAAGAAAAAAAAAAGGGGGGGGAATAATTTTTCTTTAGGGAGGGGAAAAAAAAATTATTGTTGTTTCGTCGTCGTTGATGAGCTCGAAGTCATCCGCGAGTACAAAGTTCCTAAAGCAGTGACTGTAGCTATACACATACAATAATAATAATAATAATAATAATTGATATTTTATCGAGTACGTTGTAAATACGTGTGAAAGCGATACAGGGACGGGCTGTTCGTCAAACGAGTCGGCGCGTTCATCCGAACAATTTGGCTTTTTTTCACGTTTTTTACACTAATTTTATCATAATCGATGTAACAAAGGTTAAAAAAATTAATGTAAAACATGACACGGAGTAAAAGACGCGCTAACTCGAGTTGTCGACTCCTTCGCTTTTTTTTTTGCTCTTTTTCTAGTATTTGAAATTAAAAATCCACTGAATTGAATTAAAAGGTTTATGTATACGCATCTATAAATTTCCACATAAATGTCTTAGCGGTAAATTTATTTGATAAAGAGAACAAGTAAGTACTTCCTATATACTTGCAAGATGGAAAATATGATTAAAAAGTAGTCGCTCGAGTATTAAACAAGTAAAAATTGACGAGAACATCGGACTTCTTGTTGGTTCACTATGTCTTAGTAATAAACAGGGTTACATATACGATTCGAGGGAAGTTCGACCTTTTCAACTCTATACTTATTGATGATGAATAGAAAAATATAATAAAAGAAAACACAAAAACTTTCACATATCTACATTTGTATGTAAGCCTTGCGTGTAAATATTAACAAACGTACAGAATTTTTTTCTCTTTCTTTTTTTTTTTTTTTTTTTAATAATTTTTCGTACGAATACAGAAACAATAGGAAGAAAAAACAATTAAAACGAACCCGTGGATGTGACGACGATACTAAAAAAAAGGAGAAAAAAAAAATACGACAATGGTAAAGTAAACACACATACAAACATAAACACACACACATTAGCCACTTAAGGATGATGCATATAACATGTATATCTTCGCTGCGTCGAAGAAAAATTGAAGAAAAAACCAAGGGCTATGACTTTTAACTACTGCGTACAGTTTTTTTTTTTTTTTTTTTTGTAAATCGTGAGTGCGTGTGTAATGCGAAAAAAAATGTAACGAGCGCGCGAACGTACATATACAAATAAATAAATGTATTTATGAACAATCTTATAAATAGCAATTCTATCTATGAATAAGAGAAGGTAAAAAAAAGATATCGCGCGATGATAACCGTATACTTAAAAAAAAAAAAAAAAAAAAAAAAAAAAAAAAAAAAAAAAAAAAAAANNNNGGATGAGGGACGGGAGGTCTCCCATTACTGGGAGGGGGGGGTAGGAAAAATTAGGCAATTTTGCTGCGAGAAGATTGCCCATTCCCTTCTCGAGGAGCATTGCGTGGTGAAAAAGCACATGTGAAAAAACGATATATACATATTAAACCTACCAAAACGCACACGTCGTAAGCTTCATTTTTCAAAAGCTGCCTACATCTAACTATGTTGCTACAATGACGCTGCTGAAAGAAGCAATTATTCCCTTGACAAACAGGTTGGACACGTTTTTTTTTAGTGATTGTTGGACATTGTAGCGAGTCGCAATGAAATGGCGAGAAGTTTGAGTGAAATTCTTGAGCGTCATAAAATACTCGGCGAAAAACATTTCTCAACTCGGCATACGATTTATCTGTAAATAAAAAAAAAAAATAACAATAATAATATTAAATAAAACCTATGACACATAAATTTTAATAATGATCCCTATATCGAGTGAAAGATCTTTTTTTTTTTTAATAAAAAAACAGTTGGTCCATTTCGTATCGTTGAGTCGTTTTAGAAATTTTTAAAGTGTTATTGTCCTGCCGTCATTTTTATTGGCTGTAAATATGAAGTTATCAACTAAACCATTTGGTGTGTATTATTTCCTCAAACTTTCGGATGATATGTATGCAACAAACAGATAAAAAGAAGCATTTGAAACAAGTCATGGTATACCAATAGTAGACGACTTATATAAATATATATATATATACATATGCAGATTTGTCGGATTTGCAATTGAGTGTGAGGCGCGATAGTATATTGATTGACGACGAAAAAAATCGCAAGGGACAGAAAAACGTGCGGCTAAACGAGTGCGCATAAATGTTACATGTAAATAGTTTGGGATCGCGATTACCAGAGGATTTAATCGATGTTAATCGTCGTTGTACATACATTATACATTGCGATAAATGATAGCCTTTTTATTGTCATGCATACACATATTATATATTTCGTAATTATATTACGAATTGCGGATGCGCCGTTTCGCGAGGGAGACAAAGTCAAAGAGAGGAAAAAAAGGAAAAAGTTGTGTCTGTGTAAGCTTTTGCTCGACAACTTGAAGCTTTTCTTGGGTGAAAAAAAAGCAGTTAAGGAGAGGTGCTCTTTTGAACTGGGGCGAGGAGGAAAAAATAAATAGCGCGCTGGAGTCGATGAAAAAAAATAAATAAATAAATAAAAAAAGTTCCTAAGCCTAAAAGAAAAAAAAAAATAATAATAATTTCCGAGCAGCGCTATGTAAGACACAAAGTGTGCGGGCTGGTGCTGTGAATGCAACAGAAGAGACGATTTTAGTTTGCACGAGCAATGAATTTCTTTTCTCTCTTTTTTTTTTTTTTTTTTCCACTCTTTAAATTAGGAGCGTTTCGTTGAGCTTTCGAGTGCGTTTTACTGTTCTTTTGTCATTGTATCATAGTGTGGATTTCCAACAACGCGATTGTATAACAGGAAAACTGACAGTACTAACTGTTTTTTTTGTTTTTGTTTTTTTTTTTCCGAGTGGTTCGACATTATACAGTATAACGACACACATCTTTATTTTTATGTTTTCGTGTAAATAGTGTAGAAATATGAGTTGAGCTGACACTCTCTTTTCGTTCCGCTCGGCGTGTACGATATCTGTAATTTTTATTTATTTCATTGTATTATTGTCGTTATCGGCCTTCGAACATTTAAACGTTCGAGAGTACAGGTGAGACGGTCGAACACCAAAAATTTGTTCGCTATACGTACTACTTTAAATGTTTGGGGATTTCGTCGCTGCTTTTTTTCTTATTTGTTTTTTATCATCAAAGTATTAAATTGACCACGAATAAAAAAAAAACACACGTAATTCATGGGGAACTCGCTTTGCGTTTATTTATGAATTGTACCGATGTTTTGTATCATTGTATGATAACATGGTTGAAGGGAAAAATAAAAGAGATCCGCCAAGCGAGACGAAGGTTCGAAACGACACTCGCCGTTTTGTTTTCTACGTTCGTCTCGGCTGTTGATCGGCTATTTTTTAATAAACAATGAACCACTGTACAGCGCGCTACTTCCTTTGATAGATTTGCCTACAACTTTTCGTAGGAGCTAACAACCCTTACGTTTATTGAACACCTACTTTTACTTCCCGTAGCTCCTGAAAAATGATAAACTTAAGTTCCATAAACGAAAACAGAGTGATACAAGATACACACACACACCATACACATAAACTGGATTTCATGATTATGCCAATGTATGACACATAGACGTTTTTATTGTACAAAGTAACAAATGTTGTATTAAGAAAAAAAAAAGGGGGGGGAATAATTTTTCTTTAGGGAGGGGAAAAAAAAATTATTGTTGTTTCGTCGTCGTTGATGAGCTCGAAGTCATCCGCGAGTACAAAGTTCCTAAAGCAGTGACTGTAGCTATACACATACAATAATAATAATAATAATAATAATTGATATTTTATCGAGTACGTTGTAAATACGTGTGAAAGCGATACAGGGACGGGCTNTGTGCAATGGAAACTGATTTAAAGGCGGATTCAGATATATAAAAACTCTTACATTGATCGCGTGGAGGAAAAAAAATTTGGGTAAAAAATTTTTCACACGAAAAACGTAAGATCTTGCGAGACATCTCGATGGAAGGAAATCAGCGATGTGTAAACAAAATCATATCATTCTTAAGAAATGTTAATGTTAACATCTAGGTATGCAACAATATCATAAACAATTATTAATACCACTGCTATTACTACTTACCATTATACAATTAGTAATAAACTGTAATTGTATAATAAACTGCGTCATAGACAAAATAATGCTCATTCTTTTTTATTCTTCGTAAAAGATCTCCAAAATTTTGCAAGCACCTCTTTTCACTCCATATGATGTTTAAATCAATCGTTGTTATTAGCATTGTTAAAACGAATTAAAAGATATTTCCCGTCAGGTATTTTGAAAATGAAAATTCGTGTTATCGACTGATGATTTGTCGACAAGGTAGAAAGTCTCAGGTAAATCTTGACAACACCAACCGATGATACATTTTTCAACAGCGTTCGGTTGGTACATCAGTAAAACTTCAAAATGACAACAATAACAAACACAAACCGGCGCGTAACGGGCATTTCATCATCGCGTGCCAGTCTGCTAGCGATTGGAGTACTACGGGATTCGTAACCTATCATTCTTGTACCGGTGGACATTTAAACAAAATGTTTTATCATGTAACTATCAGATTTAAAATTTAAAGTGCAATTAGAGACATGAAAAGTTTCATTTTGCAATTTTTTTTTCCATTCAGATATCTTTGGAACACGAAATCCTCCTACACCCGAGGTACTTTGGGCCTCAGCTACTGGAAACAGTCAAACAAAAGTTGTACACAGAAGTGGAGGGTAATTGCACCGGCAAGTATGGCTTTGTTGTTGCTGTCACAACCATTGACAATATCGGTGCTGGTGTTATTCAGCCTGGCCAAGGATTTGTTGTGTATCCCGTCAAATACAAAGCCATCGTATTCAGACCTTTCAAAGGCGAAGTACTGGATGGCATTGTTACCCAAGTTAATAAGGTATGTGAAAGATAAGAAAAGAGTCAAATACTTTCATCTGTTATATTTAGTTTTATTTTAATTTTAGGTAGGTATGTTTGCTGAAATTGGACCATTGTCGTGTTTCATATCACATCATGTAAGAACAGATTTTGTTTGTATTTATGACTTTTGATGGTTTTACATTACTGTATTGTTCTTTTTTTCACATATTGCAGTCCATACCAGCTGATATGCAATTCTGTCCTAACGTGAATCCTCCTTGCTACAAGTCCAAAGATGAGGTAGAGTGTTATTAGTTTTTAAATGTATCATAAAATTAAGATGAAAGCTATTTGCAATTATTTTCTATAGGATGTGGTGATTCAAGCTGACGATGAGATAAGAATGAAAATTGTGGGTACCAGAGTCGATGCTACTGGCATAGTGAGTTTTCATAAAGTATACTTTAGGTTCATTTTTAACAATTTATGGGTACTTGTAACACACCTCTAATTATTTTAGTTTGCCATTGGAACGTTGATGGAAGACTATCTGGGACTAGTGTGTAATTGATTATACTCAATTTTAATTTGATAAAAAGAATCTACAAATAAAAATTCATGGAAAAATGTAAATAGGTATAATAAAAGCACGTTTTTATAAAACCAAAGTGTACTTTGTGCAAAGAATGGATGGCAAACTTATGAAATAAAACTAAACAATTTTATAATTAAAACACGATAATTATTTCGTACAATTCCTCAAATGATCGATTGAACGGCAGTTGTTTGTTTGTTATTAGGGTAACTGGTTTCTAATATCTAGTTAGTAGTTAGTTTTGCTATGTACATATTATACAACTTAACTGTTTATTGGAACTATAAAGTTCAAGGGCTGTGCCTCCATGAGTCATATAAGCTGAGTAGAACATTTATACTTTTGGAGGTCGATTTTGGGGTAAAAGATACACTGCAAACTTGCCGCAAGTAGAACAAAGAACGTTAAATTTTTATTTTATATTTACAAGATCAGTTGCGGCTGGTTTATAATTGATAACATGGCTCTACTGTAAGTTGTAGTAATTATTTGGATCAGCGCCATCTAGCGGTATTTTTTTTTCGCCAAAAGTGGCCTCTAAAATTCTGAGTCGGTGCTTTAGCGCTTAGAGCCATTTAAGTTTTTATAAACCAGCCGCAACTCATCTTGTAGCTATAAAATAAAAAAATAACGATACATGTGTTTTTGGCGGCAAGTTAACAATCTATTTTTTACTCGAAAATTTACCTTCAAAAATAGAAATACATAGGAAGCCAATTTTTGGTAAAAGATAGATTGTTAACTTGCCGCCAAAAACACATGTATTGTTATTTTTTCATTTTATAGCTACAAAATGAGTTGCGGCTGGTTTGTAATTGGCTAAATAGCTCTAAGCGCTAAAGCACCGACTCAGAATTTTAGAGGCCACTTTTGGCGAAAAAAAAATACCGCTAGATGGCGCTGATCTAAATTATTACTAATACTTATAGTAGAGCCATTTAGTCAATTATAAACCAGCCGCAACTAATTTAGTAGATATAAAATAAAAAGGTGACGTTTGCTGTGCTGTTTGGGGCAAGTTTACAACTTATTTTTTACTTGAAAATCGACCTGTTAAAGTATAAATATTCTACTCATCTCATATGGCTTATAAAATCAACCATTTTAACAAAATCACAATACTTTAGATCTTTTACCATTAACTCATTGAAGCACAGCCCTTTAACTTTATAGTTCCAATAAACAGTAAACTTTTATTACATGTCCATAGCAAAATTTGTGTTACAGAAATCTTAAATAACGATCAAACAAATACGTAAATTAATTAGTCTAAAAGAGACAACTAAAAAAATAGGCCTATAAAAAAAGCACAGTCACTTGAAGAGTCTCCTCAGAATGGAGCATTGGATCTCACTTAATCAGAGAAGGTTGGGTTCTTTGTTTATTTATAATACTTACAATTTACTTCTCTGTAATAAATGTATTTTTTATTTAGTGAGATCCAATGCTCCATTCTTAGGAGACTCTTCGTGTGACTGTGCTCCTTCCATACTTAGGACTTTTTTTTTAGTTGTCTCTTTTAGACTCTAAAATCCAATCTTTGGAGACTCATAGTGTCACTGTACTTCTTTCATACTTAGGCCTATTTTTTCAGTTGTCTCTTTTAGACTAATTAATTTACGTATTTGTTTGATCGTTATTCGAGATTTCTGTAACACAAAATTTGCTATGGACATGTTATATGAGTTTACTGTTTATTGGAACTATAAAGTTAAAGGGCTGTACTTCAATGAGTTAACGGTAAAAGGTTTTAAGTATTGTGATTTTGTAAAAATGGTTGATTTTTTTAGCCATATGAGATGAGTAGAATATTTATACTTTAATAGGTCGATTTTCAAGTAAAAATAAATTGTAAGCTTGCCGCAAATAGCACAGACAACGTTTGTTTTATATTTTGTGTCAATGAGATCAGTTGCGGCTGGTTTATAATTAATTAAATAGCTCTACTATAAGTATTAGTGATAATTATTTGGATCAGCGCCATCTAGCGTTTGGGATTTTTGAACTAAAAAGTGGCCCTAAACTTTTGACCCATAGCATTAGCGCTTAGAGCCATTTAACCAATTATAAACCAGCCGCAACTTATTTTGTAGCTACAAAATAGAAAAATAACGATACGTGTGTTTTTGACGGCAAATTAGCAATCTATTTTCTATCAAAAATCGACGTCCTATCTATTTATACTTTTGAAGATAAATTTTCGAGTAAAAGATAGATTCTTAACTTGCCGCCAAAAATACGTGTACCGTTATTTTTTTATTTTATAGCTACAAAATAAGTTGCGGCTGGTTTATAATAAGCTAAGTGGCTCTAAGCGCCAAAGCTCTGGTTCAAAAGTTTAGGGCCACTTTTTAGTTCAGAAATCCGCAACGCTAGATGGCGCTGATCCAAATAATTATTACAACTTACAGTAGAGCCACGTAATAAATTATTGACCAACCGCAACTAATTTTATACATAGAAGATAAAAAATTGACTTTGTCAAAGTTGTTGAGACTTCGGGAGGAGCTTCAGCAGATTCAACAGCGACACACCAACATTACTTGTCTGAGGGGGTATTCTGTTTCTATTCCGTATTCCGTAACGTTCTACGTTCTACATTCTACATTCTACCACAGACTGACGGTACGTTACTATTTTTTTATTCATTGTAACGTGACGTCAAGTTGTGGCACGGCCGATGGCGTGGTGCAGAAGCAGAACTTGCAGAAGTTACGGAATAATCCCCCTGACATTAAGATATCGAAGAAAAGAAGCGCAGCTCCGCCGCCATTCTTGCGCCGTCGCCAGTAGGTGGGGAGAGACGTATCGATGTTTGACCTGCTCTTGATTCAATGTATTTTACAACTTGTAAATAAGTAGAAGTTATCCAATAGTAATTATTGATATAGTATATCGCCATGGCTGAGTATCTGGCCTCGATTTTCGGGACCGAAAAGGACAAGTAAGTATAATATTTGTATGTGTACGCTTGATTTGTTAGGTTAGGAACTGAGTGAGACCTTCCCTTTTTTTCTCTTTCATCGTAAAAATCTGATGAGTTGTGTTATAAATTGAGTATAATCAAACGAATGATCACTGTTTCGCAGAGTCAATTGTTCCTTTTACTTTAAAATTGGAGCATGCAGACACGGTGATCGATGCTCCAGAATTCATAACAAGCCAACTTTCAGTCAGGTATAAATATCCTCCATATTATCTCATGACAATCAATTTTCAGTCTCATACATTTCGATTGATATTAATTTTACAGACTTGTTTGTTGCAAAATTTGTATGTAAATCCTCAAAACTCGGCAAAAAGTGCAGATGGCTCGCACTGTAAGTAACTCATATTTTGAGTATGTAAACAACTGAATATTTGTAAATGTAACGTTAAATAAATTTGTACTTTTTAGTGGTCGCAAATGTATCAGATGAGGAAATGCAAGAGCATTATGACAATTTCTTTGAGGATGTATTTGTTGAATGCGAGGATAAATATGGTGAAATCGAAGAAATGAATGTGTGTGATAATTTAGGAGATCATTTGGTAGGCAATGTGTATATTAAATTTAGACGCGAAGAGGATGCCGAAAAGGCAGTGAATGATTTAAATAATAGATGGTTTGGAGGAAGACCAGTTTATGCTGAATTATCACCTGTAACAGATTTTAGAGAAGCTTGCTGTCGACAGTATGAGATGGGGTGAGTTGTTCGTCATGCATCACGATACATCTATACCTGTTATGTATAAACATTACTGTGTAAATATTCAAAGTTTTGTTATTATTTGAAAGATTATTAAAGGATAATAAATCTCTATCTTCGTGGCAAAATCAGTTAAGTCCCATTTTACATTTGAGTCTATATTGACCCTCAACATACACAACCATTAAATTGCGTCATAAGATTTTTTATTACAATCATTTTTCACATAGTATTTGAATATTTTCGTATTGTTTTACATCAACATTCAAAAATGTTACTTTTCTATGTGTATGTTGATGGTTAAATATTGTTTCTGAATGTTTTCTTACAATAATAACATTAAAACCTTTTATTTAAGAAACATTACAATTTTCAGTGAAATTTTATGCCTAAAGTTAAAAAAAATTAATCACGAAACGTATTTTGACGACTCTTTTTTACGATGTTACTGTTTTTTTCAGAGAATGCACAAGATCAGGATTCTGCAACTTTATGCACTTGAAGCCAATTTCTCGCGATCTGCGAAGATATTTGTACAGCCGTAAAAAAGGAGGTGGCAGAGGACGATCAAGATCGCGTTCGCGATCTCGTGGTCGTGGTAGTGGTGGAGGTGGAGGTGGAGGTGGAGGTGGAGGTGGTGGAGGAGGTGGAGGAGGAGGTGGTGGTAGTGCTGGTGAACGTAAGCGCAGATCGCGATCGCGCGAACGTAGATCAAGATCAAAGGAAAGACGCAAGGGCAGAGATAGCCGTTCAGGCAGATATTGATTTCAAACGGACTTTTTCTAGCTCCACAAGTATGATATGCTGTTCTTTTGAAACAGGTTCTAAACAGACACGTGTACATGCATTGCATAAAAATGCTACACATCAAAGAATTATTTGGATTATGATAAGCTTAGTACCATACACCATTTTAATTTAAGCATCATGAAATCATGAGATGTACTGTTTATAATATGACCAATATGTTCAAATAAATTTTGATAAATGTTGGATGATTTTTATATTTTTGATGTTTTTATTTCCGCATGTCAATTGTCACGCAAAAAATCAAGATCAAAAGATTACCATGAAAATTTGTTCAAACCATATGAATAAACTGTATTCCAACGAAAAAAAATTAATATTTAGAAATATATAATTAAGGAAATCCTAAGTTTGGTCTTTTTTTGTTTTTGAACAATTGTATGTCAATTGTATATATATTGTCGGACAAGAGCATTAATTCTATTTTTCCCCTACACAAAAGAAAGTATACATAATATCCAATGTGTATTTCGTGTGTACCACTACAACGAAAAAAAAAATAATAATAATTGATACCGCGCATTATACGACAAGCAACGTAATATATGTATAATATACAAACAATAAAAATCTGATAGGCATAGGCAAGACTAATCGACATGTAATTGTTTCAACGAACAGATCCCTGTATTGGTTTGTAAAACAATCGGTCAGCGCGTATAAACACTCATCACATGCTGCTTATTCATTATCGGTTCGATGCTCGTTTTACACATCCGCTCTCGACTTTTACATACATTCCAATATATCCCTTGATAATTTATACCATAACATAAACTTACATACGATACTTCATTCATCCACGCAAGTTGATGAAACGTCGTTTGGATATCGTATTCACTCACGGTATATACCTACATAAAACAACTACCGGTGTCTTTTATTACATCCATACGATTCTCAGGAACGTGAGATAATTAGTGTGCTTTTGTTATATGAATAAATGAATTCGAGACTTCCTATTTTCGATGTATCGACTAACATATTTTTTTTCTCTAATTACCTAGAAATAACAACCGATTTGGACAATCAAGTTATGAAAAAAAAAGGATTTTTTTTTTTAGTTTATGGAGCAATAAAAGGAAAAGAGAACATTTTCCTCTCAGGCATTGGCGAAAATTTAAGGGCTACTTAACTGCAAGTACATATTATAGGGACTTGAGTAGTGCCATGGCATTAAAGGGTTTAACCGAGCTTTTTTCTTTTTACCTTCCCGAAACGAAACAACCAGTATAATAAAATTAAAGATTCCATTGACGTATGCTTTTTTGTCCATTTATGACTAATACTTGTATGCTTTCAATCGGGTTTATAAGTAAGAAGTAAAAAAAAAAAAAAAAAAAAAAAAAACGCGTCGTAAAAGTTTGAAAAATCGTCATCGAGTCAAGTTCTAATTGTTATCGGTGCAATGCCTCGTACCTTATTATTTTCACCACTATAAGTAGCTTTAAACATTTTTTAGCACACGTTATACCTTTTTTTTCAAGCTCTCTGTATCGCAGAGATGTATCTCTCTCTCTCTCATAACAGTATAATTGTATAAGTAATGTATTTGTACAAATATACCGATCTTTTCTTTCTATATACGACTCGTATGCACACCCCATGTATGTGTTTGTACGTATTATTTACATTTTACCAAAGTTTGCAAATATTTGCAAGCTCAGTAAGTGTTTGTAGGTCCTCGCGACATGTATGTACACACGTACGTATGTACAACACCATGTATCGTATTAAACACATGTCAAACAGGCAAACCATAGGAAATCGATAAACTCCTTAACGGAGATGTGCACCTGATTGGTTCTAGAGGCAATATATAAAATATATAAAACATTCCGAGTACGCAGCTATTGGTTTCTTTCTTTTTTTTTCTTTTTAACTTACATACCGTTGTATTTGCTGTGTGTATATTGTGTAGTACGAGTTATACGTAAAAAAAAAACACGGAAAGCATACTTTTTTACCAATATACGTTTGTATAGGCTAACGCTTTTTTCTCGAAATCACAATTATAGACAAGAGCTCGTAGCGTCATTGGTTCTTGAAAAATGTGAAATTAATTTTAGTATGTAGTAATTAACACACGCACATGTTAGTGTTTGGTAAAAGATGGTAAATTTCTGAAACTAAGATATTACCCAGGAAAAAAATTGAAATCAAATGTTCTCTGTAATTATAAAACCACACATGTCAAAATTCGTATTTCAAATTATAAGTTTAAAAATCACTAAACATAGTGTAAGATAAAGCTTTATGCTATACGTTACTGTCCATCAATTTTATCAATCGACAAATGTTATTTTTCCCTCTTGGATACACAATTTTTTAACTTAACAAGTAATAAGAAACAAGTACATTATGTAATTATTTTTAAATGTTTGATATTACTTAGTGTGGAATACACTTTTCGTCGAGCTCACGTCATTTTAAATAAAAAATATTGAACCATCAGGCAAATAAACAAAAAAAAAGCGCGATTTTTTGAAATACGATCAAATTTTGTTTAAATTCCCGCTGTGCATTGCTGCGAGGTCGATAAGAACGGAACCTACAAAAATTATTCAATTTTTCCCTCCATTGATGGGAATGTGAGATTTTAGCAGTGTGTGCATAGATTCCAGTTTTAACTCAATTGACCCTCTTTTTTGCTAATCATGTCATTCCAACGTAACTAATAAAAATAAAAAAGTGCCGAGAAAAAACACCTCTGTATTCTGTACCCATCTCTGTGACACAAATATAGGCATGGTAGATCGCTATTATAAGATACTGTGAGCAGAGGACGAGATTTGTTGTGTTGTGACTGTTGTCAAAGATTAAGTATACCTACGATTTGAACGCACCCTAAGCCTAAAAATTTGTTAAATCAATAAAGTATAATGGGTGAGAGGAACTGAGGAATCGTTTTAACCATAATTCGCATGAATACTGGAGTTTGCAAAAGTGAATGTACCAGAACGCAGATCAGCTGAACCGCTTTGATCTGAAAAGCAAAGTAAAAACTAAGGTAAAAACAGTCATTTTGATAAGAATAGTAATAAAGAAGATAGACCTAAAACTTTCTTTGATAGTACCTACCTATCCTTGATACAGTTTTGGAACGCAACCTCTAGAGTGTGGAACCGTGGTGTGAAGGAGCCGAACGAGAGGTGGATGACAACGGAGAGAGCAAAGCACGACGGAGTAAAGAGAGGGAGGAGAGAGAGAGAGAGAGAAAAGAGGTATATAGAGGAAAAGAAGAAGTCGAAAGCTCACCTCTGTCAGTACTGTCAGTAGAGCAGCGGAGCCATAAGAAAACGGGAGTGTTTGTCGTGCTGCTGTTGCTTCGCGTCCACGACTCCAAGGGTTCCGAGCGGGAACTGCGGGGAGCCGCACCTACAAGCCTTTCATGTGAGTGTCAGTGTTGATAAGTGGACGCGTCGCTGTCGCGCGTGCATCGACATATAATTATCTCCATCCATTTATATACCCTTTTTCTTTAAACTTTTAACAAATTTCCCTCCCCTCGCCTTTTTTCTGCTCCGACAGGCGAGCAGTAAGTTAGTAACAAAATAGTGAAAAGGCACGGATACGTCAGAGCGCCCAGCGCCAGAACACATAAGTCATCAGTGCGTTTGTGTCCTCTTTGTACCCAAGTGTCGTGTGACAACTCTCTGGTGAAAGCTCACTTACGGAACCATCCTCTTGTACTCCGTACAGTGTAGTCAGGCTAAAGGTTCAACGTTCAACGGTACTAAAGCCAAAGACGACCATACCCGGAGGAGGAACAGTGTATAGTCTTGGACGGCTCGTGCGGTGCGGTGTCGATAACTCCTTCAGAGAAAAACAGCAACCGTTACGCGCTCGCTCCTCAGCCGGGGTCCCCTGCAGGATTCTCCGGCAGCGCAGACGAGGACAGGAAGGTGCGTCGTTTCTCGCCTTATTTTTCATCTGCTAAGCTTATTTCTTTCCCCCCCCCCCCTTTGACCTCGTTAATGCTACGACTTCTAGGCTCGTCCTCGACTGCTTACTCGTGTACCTGCGCGTACAGCTTACCATTGTATCATTTTTAAAAGGTGTGCAAGTGTGTTACTTGTCATACCTAAAGTGTACAACATACATTACCTACTTACTTACTCAGTGAATGCTTCTAAATTCTCAGGGACAAAAGAACTACAACCTCGATGTATCACCAGTATCGTGTGTGTGAGTGCTTATCTCCGTTTTTTGTTTTACATGAAACAGCGAACGTGTAGGCATGAGACCAGCAAGTGCGGCTTTCCGTGCGTGGAATCACTTATTTTTCTATTTTATTTTCTAGACTAGGTACTTAGTTGAATCACAGCATCATCATCGATACGTGTTTTTCATCTAATAATTGATAAATAGACACACGCACTTAATTATACCTATACACCAAGGTGCAAAACTTTGGATTTGAAGGACGGTTTTGATTGGAACGTGTGTGTGTCTCTCTCTCTCTCTCTCTCTCTCTGTTTCTGTTGAATGACGGTCATGTTTATTAACGTTTTTATCGTTTCATTACAATTAAAAAATCATCATTATTTGCGATTGAATAAAAATTATAATTCAATCTTTCGACTACTGCCAGTTTCTTCATAGACAAAGTTTCTCGTGTTTAAAATCTGCCAGCTTAAATAAGTGGTTTTTATCCTTTATTTGCCGTGCTACAAGTGTCGAGAGGTACATACATTTGATTATACAAATGCAAAAACATATCATGAAAAACTGTGTAACGTCCGGTGGAATGAATTTCAAGCTTTGCTATAAGAAACAACTTTAGCGATAACTCAGCGTAATCTTGAGGCAAACTTTTTTTTGCATTCTGACGTTGGGAAAAAAAACACGCCACAGAAAAAGAATAAGCTGAGATCATATATTACTTACGTTCGTAAAAAAAAAATACAGCTGTTGTTGAATCAGCTCGTTAAACTTCTAAAAAAAAAATTGACCGCCATACATGATTCCTAGCGAATGATCATTAAATTTTCTCTGCCTGTTTTTTCTCAGATGAATTTTATTAAATCAACTTCAAACAAAAACATGCCAGCCAGCAAAACTCGTGTATCCATTTGAAATTAAATGAAATCACAAGTCTCCACTGTGCAACATATAAAGATAGAAAAAATACAAATAGAGAGAGATCGAGTCGCGGAATACCGTCTCTCGAAATAACAGTTGAAAATAAACACACAAATGTATATGTTATATACTTAGCCCAAGCTCGCAAAAACGCGCAAAACAAATCTCGGTTGGCTTGCATAGCACGGTTTTTTTTTACCTGGCGTATGAACGTAATATAAGTATATATGTTCGATAGCCAAAGAAGAAACTGTTTTCGTGTGCAGCTGTGTCTATATAATTTAACGAATGCCCGGATTTCGTAGTATGCACACACGAGACACGTAGTTACTTATATAGCGAAGCATCCGACAAAGTATATTAGAGTCGACGACAAAGTTTATTAAAGTGTACACATAAGTATAGTCACACTTGAAAACGAAATCTACACGTGTACTGCTGCAAAAAGTCAATTGCAGGGACGGAGAAAAAGAGCAGGTTTTTTTTTACCGTGTCTTTGTGTGATCAGCCCCTTTTTTTATCAAAGTGCGCGTATCAGGTTCCACGATGTGTACGTGTATATACGTATACATAAGTACCCACTGTCAAAAGGGAGAAAAGAGAGAGCGTGCGCGGCCGATGATATAAAAATAATGTTGTTGCTTCTGCTCCGGAGCAGAAGCTATCTGCATAGCAGCCGACAGAAACGAGAAGCTCGTGTGTATATATATATCTCCCTATATTATATAGTTGTATTGACGAAAGTGAGTCTCAGCCCCCCCCCCCGCTCCCCCTCGATTTAGGTAGTCATTTGCTTGTTTTAACGTCATTTTTAATCAAATTATATTTGAGTGAGCTCCCCCCCGCTCCCCCCCAATGAAATACTTATTTATCTAATGTTTTACCATCATAAATGTTAAAAAATATACGCAATTTAGTACCTAAGTCATACCTCGTTTTTAGGGTTTTTAAGTCAATGATCATAGGTCTCCCTCTATCTATTCGCTTCCCCTTACTCACTATGTGTCTCTGAAGTACCATTATTTGTTAAACTTGATAGAACTTTTACATTTCAAATCTCTTTCTGGTCCATGTCTACTTTACCCAAATATAAAATTCTTGATTACTTGAGGACTTTATTAAGTAAAAGACATAATTCAGGAGGAGTTATTATTAAATAGACAAACACAATTGAGCTTTTAAAACAATAATTTATTCTGTTAGCTTAATGTTGTGACATTTTATGTGTCATTTTAACCCATCTGTTCTTTTAAAACCCTTTCCACATTTTTCACATATTTGTTTTTCATGGTTTTTATGAATTAACATACGTCTGTTTTAATGTGACGACCTTCAAAGTTACATATTTTTGAATTACTGAAAAATTTCTAGCTAAACAATATTTTTAATTTCTTCTCGGATGCAATTTGAATAAAAATTCTTTTTGGATGCTTACATCTTAATAAAGCAACGTATAATTGTCCGTAAGAGAATATAGGTTTTTTAATATACAATCCTAAAGAATCAAAACTCTGTTTTTCTGATTTTTTAATAAATATAGAACATGCCAATACAAAGGGAAACTGTTTTCTATAGCAGACAAAAGTTAATGATTATAATGTACCAGTATTCAATGTTATTCTAAGAATATAAACTTTGCTTTTTTTCTCCCATAATTATTTCTGCTTCTATACAATACTTGAATAATTTGTTATTTTTAATCTTGTGCCTCTACAGAGACCGTCTAATATACTTAAAGTTCTTATTAACACTACTATAGCATTTATTTTTAATTTTAATTCGTGTAACGGAAGACCCTCACTAATATTATTTCAAAATACTATTGGAAAATGAATATTTATGTTATTTTTATTACGTTAAGTTAATCATATGTTTTATCAACTCCTTTGTAAGTCACGTATTCTGCTGTTGTGAACTAATTTTCAGCCTGCATTGATAAATACACGTGTAATGTCGTTATTTTGTCTACTCAATCTCTTAGTGAGAGGTTGGCGCGCGGAGCGCGCAGGGGGGCGTTAGCCCCTGCACTAGTATATGTATATATTTGTATATGCATGCGTGGAGCTTTCGGAACAGCTTCATCACCTGCAGGTCGACCTGTATGTATTTACAAACGTGGCATTATTTAATATACATTCCGAGATTCTATTTGAGCTTAAGAACCCTTCATCATCTGCGTTTCACTCTTAGCCGACACGTTCGAGATTTTCGCCAAAGTCCATATATTTCTCGGAGCTTTTAAACTTTCTGAACGCACTTTCGTGTGAGCTCGTGTCCCACAGCTGCTCCCAGAGGCCCTGCCTGTACCTACGGGAACAGCGCATGTATTATTTTACACGCGTGGGTGTTTATACACACACACACACACACACATAAATATATATTATACGGGAGAAAAGCGGGTGAGATGAGGAGAGTCTAAAGGTACGTGTGTGCTTGTGTGTTTGTCATGTGTATCGTATACGGTATATCGCCATGTTCAAGCAGCAGCTTCGTTAGTTCGTTCCTCGTAGCCGACGTTTATACGTATGCCATTTGCCATGTCGTAGCGAACAAGAAAAGGAAACCGTCACACGAACGACAGACCTGCAGGTGATGTGCGACCGACCTCCTCGCTAAATCGCGCTTCTGTATACATCTACACACACACGCTCGACGACGACGAACGACGACCGCGAGTGTATCTGTATTTATACACACACGCAAAACTCTAGAGCGTATATATATATTTATACATACATACATACCTACATCTGTCGCGGCTGGGCTGTACTTGTATATTATAATAGCACGCCGTCTCTGTCGCGCGGCCGAAGAAGACAGAAGAGGAGGCCTCGTCGAGTGTAAACGCCGTGCATATATATAGATACAGGTACCCGGTAAGAGGCCGCCTCACCCGGGCTTCTACACTACTGACCGACCCTATGTTATTATAATTATTATGTATTACAAGGAAGTGTGCGCACGTAGCTTGTATAAATATAAAAACAGCTATCAATCATATTTTACTGTTTTATACAAGTGGACATAAACGTGCTACTTTCAAAGTACTTTTTCTGCTGGACCCGATGCGAAACTGCTCCAAGCTGCCCGTACGCTGTTATCTTATTGCTGCTTTTAGGATATTCGTATATGGTTTACCTTGGAAATTGGCGTATTTGTTTTCCCAAATAATGTGTTATAACGTCCAGCAGCTCGAGTGCATTATTGAATTTTGGATTGCAAATTTAGCGAAATCGCTAGGACAATAAGTAGTAGTATAAAGCTGGATGTGCAAAAGTTGTTGATGTGCTCAAGCGTATGTGTACGCAAATATTTGAGTTTTTGATATCTATGGCAAATATCCCAGGGCTTAGTGTGACAAAGTGTTCTCTGTTACAGTGATTGTTGTCGAGTATCATGAATATTGTTTGTTTTTTGTTTTGACGAGATTTTCGTGGTAACAATTATATATTTATACATCTGGGACATTTGCCACAGCTATAGAGCAACAAAACTTCAGAGGGGGAGGAGTTTTCTTTAATGCCTAGTAAAATCTCTTGATGGTGTTTTATTATTTTGTGCAGTGAGGGACAATTGGTGTTGACAAAAATGAGTTGTCAAGATGATTCGAGTAGATTCAAGCTGCCACAACACGTAATTGATATCATTCTGGAGTTTGCCATTACTCATTTTCTCGAGCAACCAGAGGACACTATTGACTTCGCCGTGGAGTACTTTACAAATCTCAGGGAGAGTCGGCAAACCCAGCTGATTCAGAGCCAGACATGCATCTCCACGCCTGATGAATCTGTGGAAGAAGGTAACGTTGTCATTCTTTTTATTAATTTTTTATCCTTCTAATTATGAAATCAATGATTAACGTAATAAATAGTATAAAATCTAAATTTATACGAGGTTAAAAATTTTAACCACATAAAACCACATTCAATGTATGAAAATTTAGTTTAGTAGTTAAAAATTAGTGAAACGTACCTCACGTTGGTACGCATCTTTGTTACTCCGAGAAATATTTCAGACAAAATAAATTCTCGTGACATTTCATTCATTCTCACTTGTTTTGTGAATTGAAATCGTTTTAACTTATATCCATATCATTTCGGAACTATGTGTCTATGAGTATTAAATAAAAAATACTACTTACGTTCGAAGCAGTAATTGGTCTTTTTGATTTTTCAGTTGAAAAAACAATTAAAACAATTGATTACTATGTGAAGATGTTTTGTAAAGGTATATAAATTACAATTATTAACACCGGAATGCTACCCTCCTCCCCTTTGAGCAATTTACTCAGCATCACTGTTGTCCCCTTCTCACGCAGTAACGTGATACAATTAGTTATTGCAAAACCAATTGTAATCCCTACGAGTAATAGATACCAATTAATCATTTTTTATGTAATCCAACGAAATGTATATATTTATATTCGACACACCAATAAATTAGTCTTACCAGCACTATGTAACCCTTTGTGTTCCATGCCCGTAAACAATCAAACTCAATTTCACGTAAAACAAGTATTCACTATTCAGAATCAACGAAGAAGAAACAGATAATATAGATGGAGAGAGAGCGAGAGAGATGGGGGGGGGGGAGAGGATAGAAAACACACGCTAGTCTGACCAACTAATACGGAAAAAAATTTGTTATTCAGTCGTGTATACTTTTGTTGTCATTACGTAAGATCGAGTCGTCAAGACGATTAGGTGGCCATACGTCCTTGCACAGACGAGAAAATTTTCTCGAACCGTATAAGTAAGTATACTTACACAGAGAGATGTGTGGCGTTGTTCTCCATCATCAAAGTTACAGCTCTCCCATCTTCGTCTCTCTCTATCTCTGGATAAAGCCAGCGAGCATTATGATAATGATCAATTCACGATCGTATTACCAAATTGAACCAGTTACGCGCAATTAACTTGTTGTGCTCGCCGTCCACACGTGTGACGTATCGAGGCATGTAATGTTACGAACTGATCCAAACCACACCACATGTGTGCCTATACGTATGCATGCGTGAGTACATATATGTATATGTACACCAAAGTCCGAAGAGAACCACAATAGGTATACTTATATACTTGACCAGTCGTCGTGTCTGATGATCTTCGACGACGCGGAATGAGAGAGCCATTGTCTTTACTTTTGTTTGTTTGGTCGTTGTCATTCATTTGCAAAGTGATCGAATATTCTTGTTTAGTTAGACCTCTTGACCCTCCCTTCTCCCCCCCCCCCCCAATAGGTTTGCTCGAAATAATACACCCGATGCTCAGATTGATCCTCGAGAGATAAAAATAAATATTTAAAACAAAAGCGAGAGTATATAGGTAGGCTCTTAATTAAATGTGCCAATTCGTTTCGATTAATGGATATTAATTGACGACCGCAGCTCAGCTGCAGTTGTTGAACTCTGCGTCGAAAGGAGGCCGATGATTGTTTCGCTCCATATTTTTTCTTCTTTTTTTAGCGATGGCCACCGGCCGCTCGGCCAATTTAAACATCAGTTTTTCTTTTATCCCGCTTATCGCTTTTTTTTTCCGATTCACTTCTACTTTTTCGTTGTTCTACTCTCGGCTTCTATTCATATATAAAAATATACTTTGCGTTGATAATTTTAACTTCTCATTTTATCTCCCTCGATGCCGACCAATTATCAGTAGACACTCGAACGTAAAGCCCCTTTCCAATTAGTCCATTCCCTATATGATGGGCCGTATCGATTTCAACTCGAGATTCATGCTCAGGTAGTGCGAAAATCGCAATAATGCGAGATGAATATCCTCCTCCGTGAAATCGTTGCACAACTTTCCTCCGAATAAGCAAACTTTTCCCCCTATCTAGTTCGTAAATGTGTTTTATTTGCTTGATGTTTGTTTGCTCCCTTTAAAATTTTTCTTTCCCCCCCCCTCTTTTTTTTTATCGAAAAGTTTACGTCACGATGTGTGAAAATGAATATAGTAATTTTGTATTCCGTGTAGTGCATATACCTAAAGATTACTAATATATTCAAGAAATATAAAAAAAGATGTTCTCGGGTAAAGAGGGACATTTCGTGGAGTTTTACAAAAACAGAGGTACAGATGCGTGCATGTCCGTGGAAGGAGGAGGAAGGTAATAAAATTTGTTTGCTGTTGCAGAGCCACCAGTCGGCAGGTTCGCCATCCGCAGGAAGAGCGTCTTCGCCGAAACTTACAACCCCGAGGACGATGAGGAGGACGAGGGAGTCGCGGTAAATAGAGAACAAATTTCTTTACAGCGTTTGCTTCCCATGTAGCGTGTTGTGTATATACGCCAAGCGCATGAAAAAAAGTTTTATTGCCCATTCAGCGATACTTCCGTAGTCGTCAAAGCCTTTTTCCTTCTATTGGTTTTTTTCTCCTCCACCGCGAGCATCGTAACGTTATCTCTTTACTGCGAGCGTCATGTCATCGTTACGCTGGACGGGTGGGAATGATGGAAATACAAAAATCGCGATTACGTTTGTTTCTAAGTTTTACTGGGGCATCGAATTTATGAAGAAAATGAGCGAATTAAAAAAAACCGCGTCGTTCGATGCAATTTGTCTGTTTGACGCTCCTTGCGATATTAATATCTCGAAATATGAATACGAACAACCATCATCGTCATCATAATTGTATCTTCTGGTGTAATATAAAATAGGTGCGCTTATTAATTTTAATTATTTCACAATTACGAAATAATTCGTGTTTATGAGTTTGAGCTCAAATTAAAATGAACGAATAGACGAAACCCACGCACGGGGGGAATATAATTCCACTTCCTCGAGGATTATTTCATATTTATCAAAGCTGGAAATTATTCATTTCTCCGGATTATTTTTTTTCTTCCTTTTTTTATCGAAAGAGCAAGCCGTGTGTCGTCATAATACAAACATATACGATTTCCGCGCACCTGATCGCTTTCGGCGAGTGTCGTTTTTCAATTTTATTAAAACTCGATCTGTGATTTCATTCTGTTTATATAGATCCGATACGGGCGAGAATCGTGATCTCGTGTGAAATTGAAAAAAAAGAAGAGAGGTACACCCACGCGAAATCGGGATTACGCTTTTTAAACCAAGTTAAATAAAAATACTTTACTTTTTCATGCCTCTCTTGATCTATCGAAGCTAAAGTCAATAACGATGTTGATTTTTTTCTTTTTTTTTTTCGAGACGTGTATGCAAAAAATAAATCTCTACATCATCGGCAGCGTGATTATGGTATATACAGTTGGGCGATAAGCTGCGCCTCCTCGACGTATGTTGTTATACTTTATATGTCTGTGATCGCCTATTGTTACACTCTCAAGTACAATACTTTTGAGGAGCGCATCGGGTTTTTATTGTTATGCGAGCTGCATGAAAGCAAACGAGAGTCTTTGCCACTGGCGCGTGAATTTTTTTTTTTTTTTTTTTTTCACAGCGCGTACTCTCCTTCTCTTTGTGTAGCAAGATGCTTTTCTTTCTTCTCTTTATCCACTCTCTCTTCCATTGTCAAGACCATTATGTACGTTTTTATTTTTCTGTACTTTCCGTCATTCAATTTACCTAATAAGATATATCTGATTCTTTTTTTTTTTTGCTTATGTCAGTAAAAAGCTGGGCAATAAGCATTAGATAAACTTTCGAGTTAAATCTGCAAATATTTTTGCAGCGTTTCTGTATAAAATATATTTCAAAGTAGCACATACTGCCGTCCCAGGGAAAAGAAGCGTAAGTGCAATGTTATTCTTATGCAGCCGAGTACGCAGCACAAACGATTTTTTTTTTTTCCTGGAACGGCATGAGTAATACTTGTCTGATATTCTTTTTTTATAATGATCAATCTTTTTAAACTTAAATGATTGTTACCACGGCAAAAGAAATGACGTTTTAACGTGCAAACATTTCACCAACTGAAAAAAAAAAAAAAAAAAAAACCAAAACAAAACTTGAGTTTTCTAACGCTAAATGAACGAATGAACGACTTAATGCTTCCAGCGAACCAACTAATTACTCAAAAGCAAAATAACTCATTATAACTAAAAGGGTTATTATACATATACGAAGCATGTGGTCATTATCATTGAAAATAATTTATATTTATAAGCCGTTGTTCTCTGTCGCGTCCAGATTAAATTAATGTTCCTCAATTTATACATACACACGCTTCCTGGCATACTTTCTTACACTCGCTTTCCTAATGAGGTCTTATCATATAGCCTTCGAAAGGGCCACTGTACATTTAAAACACACACAATATTTCGAAACCTACCGTTTATATGTTTGTAAGACTCAGCACATCGCATTGAAGTTTTTTGTACAGTGCGCAGTTCGAGAGCAACATCTATAGATCAGCAGAGAAAAAAAAATCACGTCCTTTTTAGGTAACCGGTATACCTACCTACTCTCCCGGTCAGCGAGCGTATACAGTGCGCCGCGAAGCATCAAAAGGACGCGAGCAAAGCGAGCGAGCAAAGCGGGTTTTTGCCTCTGCATGTGTGCACCTATATACTTTTTGTACATCGCAGCTGCGCTTGTGTTTGAGATCGAAATATGCGAGAGAGTAGAGTACGCGTGGTGGCTGTATAGTTACCTATACGTATACGTGGTGTGCTGTGGTGCCGGGTGTGCCCTTCGATCATTGACGCAAGTGTATAGGTGAACGAGAGATATTTTCTTTTTTCGTCATTTTGCTTTTTCCATACGCCCACCCCATCTCTGTACTCTTTCCTCTTTTTTTTTTAATTTGTACCCACTACTGACCATCTCTATCCCTCTTTTTTTTTTTTTTTTTCCCTCTAATATTCGATAGCAGTGAGATGGGAATACGACTCTAAACAAACATGGACTTGATGAAGAACGTGGTCTTGACTGGAAAAAATATCGAGTTCGCGTGTGTCTATTGGCTCTGTTATATGGCTTGAAGAAGATAAAAAAACATCTCTCTCCGCGAATATCCGATATTCCGGTAAAAATCGGTACCTAACGATCTCAGGGTTTCCTGGTACCTCTACATATCCTTTTTGCTTTGGAAGTTATACATGAACATTAATTATTCGACGTACGTCGGTTGGTTAATTGATAGATGTCGTCGATAGATGTATATGTATATAGCAAAGCTCGAGATATGGCTCGGATGATTTTCTTCAATGGTCTGGGGTGGGTTGAGCTGTTCTCGAAACTTTTAGTAATTATTGTACCTTCTACGGAGTCAGGTCGCGTCTTGTTCACAAATCGAGAAAATTAAAGTATTACTGTTCACGCGATATTTATTTATTTTTTTTTTTTTGCAATTAAGTTTATTTCTTATAATTAATAACGTACCTCCACGAAAAATGAAACTGCAACGTTATTATTGGAACAAATTTTACGTCTTGATTATTAATATATTAAAAAAGCATTTTTACTAATTTATCCTCGAATTTATCCATACCCATTTAAAATGAATTAAAAATTAACGTAAGTATATGGTCTGTTTCTTGTTATCGCAACAATATCTCATGTACCGATATAATATTATCTATTTTCGATTACTGTCAACATTATCTCTCTTTGACAATGATTTTTAAATGCTAAATCAAAATATGGAAATGTTGAACCAAACAATCACTTAAAAATTACATTTCTTTTCACGGTTTGATGACGCGTACCTGCTCTTACTCGTGAAATTGCACTTACTTGCACATGAACCAACCTCTGATGTCAACTTCAGCCTTTCGACAGGGAAAAAATAATCGACCTACTTTCATCAAACGGTTTAACAAATTTCATCCGTATTACACTTAAAATACCTAGTAAGCTACGGCAAAATTAATAATGAAAACAAAAATTGATTGCAACGGGCAGAGTTTCCTGTGAACAATAACCAAAGATGATACCATATACATGCGAATAAATCGGCTCGCGTATAACCATCGAACATTGGAAAGTTAAACTCACGTCGAGCAACAATGAGACGAAAGTTGTCCATTGTACTCCGAGAGAATCGAATTATTATCAACAAACTCGCGAATAATCTTACAACTGCGTGGCAATCAATTTATATTACTCTGTACATGTTATCACGAATAATTAAATTCGCTGCTGATGAACCTGGACGGAAGAAGTAATTTTGCGTTGTCTATTTAACGTCAAACGTGTATTGGCATCGAGTATATAGTATACAATGTACGAGCAATTGAACACCCAATCGAGCTTTTGATTGAAAGTTTTTAATTTACGGGACGAGAGCTCGGTGTAAGTAGGTACTATACGGCGCCAAATCGAATATCCTTCGAAGTATCAATGCCTCGTTGTTTGTTTTTATTCTTCTTCTTCTTTCGCCGTGTACAACAATGCCGAGTATTGTTTGGTACGGAGCCGCGGATGTAGGTCAAATAAATCATTGGAATTTCGTTCTCTGCAAGTTTTAATGAAAATTAAGGCACGTCGTCGTCGTTGCTTGGCTTATTTTCCGCGCAATCGAGTATGTCTCTCGTGACTTGAAAAATTTAAAATCAAGCACGGATTACAGGTATATCCGGTGAAAAAAAAAAAAAAAAAAAAAAAAACCTCGCACGTAGTTTCACGTAATTCCCCGTGAAGGTGAAAGTTAGTTGCAAAAGAGTTGCTCCGAGCTCGACTGATGAAAAGTTTATAAGTAATTTTTAAGTAAAACTGAAACTCGGTTGAAAATTGCGACTACACTTAAATATCGGCGCATGGCTTGCCAACTGATTAAACGTATGCATTAAATTTGACTAAACGTGGCATTACAATATTCATGCATTATTCATGGAGACACGCGGACTGGGTTAGCTACGTGCTCTTAGGGAAGTCTGTGGAGTATGGAGCGTATAATTGGGGATTTAAAAGAAAAAAAATTGGTACAATAATTGACGAAAGTAAGAAAAAGTTGATTGACTCCAATGTGAGATTATTCGGAAATTAGATAAAAGCATCAGCAGAGCGTTGTGTGGCAAAATTTCCAGTCCGGCGAAACTTGAGCGCTTGCGTACTTGTATGTATATACCTACACCTGTACCTATACGTATCGGGGCAAGTGCACCTCAAAGTGAATCACAACTCCCGGGAGAGTCCCCGACGCAATTAATTACAGGATCACCTATACATATATAGTTTTGATCGGAAAATCGAGTTCACGTATACGGTAGCCCGAGAGTGCAAGGGAACGAAAACCCACCCTCAAAGTATCCACGAGAAAAGGAAAAACTTTTTCCTCAAACGCGTTTTAGATTCCCTTTTTTTTTTTTTTTTTTTTTTTGGTTTTCCTTCACCGGCTCGCCTTCGTGTAAATCTCTCTCTTTCTGTGTTAATACGTCAAGAGGCTGTTTCTCTCCCTCGCCGGGAGGGTTCCCTGTAAGCTCCTCCACACGGAACGCGATGCGCTCGATAATTTCGGCGCCATGTTTACCCTACGCCGTCCGTCCCCCTCTCTCTCTCTCTCGTTTTCCTCCCCCGTTTTGTTCCTCCTCCCTTTGGCATCTACATATTTCGATTTGCCGGCTAATCGATATTTAGCGCGAGATGTCAACCGGGGGGGCGCGCGCGCGCGTACGCTCAATCGTACATACAAGATATAAAATTAAGGGGAAAAAAAAGAGGAGGACCAGAAAGAGTATAAAAAAAAATTTAGTAATAATGCAACAAAAATCTGTTGAATTGCAGGAAAAAAAAGAAAAAAAAAAAAAAAAAAAAAAAAAAAGAATTAGGACGCGAAACTCTTTGCTCTCGCCTCCTCCTAGCTCTTTCGGGTGTCTTTCTGTGCGCAAAAATTTTTTCGCGCATCTATAGTTTTCTCTTTTTTATGGCCCCTTTAACCCTTTTCCTCCCCCTATCTCTGCATCCACTTTTACGCGGATGAAGTGTTTTACTTACTCGCTTTGCTTGGGACGCGGTGCAGAGAACGAGGGGTGGCGAGATATACCTATACGTATACTTTGCCTCGTCGTCGTCACAACTGCACGTCCCCTGAGACTTGCAAAAAAAAAAAGAAAAAGAGCGATAGAGACATAAAGGGATGAGGTGCCCGGCCACGCGTGTAATTCACCTTTATGACGTCAGAGCACGTGTTCAATAACCCGAGCCTATATATGTATACTATACCATCTGTACGTATATGTATATAATATATACGTGTCAATATGTGGGAAATATATTACCCATCCTTTACGTGGACTTATAGGTACATTGTACGGTTCGGTGCGGTGCCATTTTACATACGTTTATTATACTTACCTGCGGGTATTTATTGCGTGCATTATTTGCGAATTCGACCGAGATAGGAAACAAATGTAGGATATTCTTGGTATCTTGTGCACACAAGGTTGTAGTGTATAATTTTCCGATGTTATACAACCTTATAGATTTACGCGGAACACGTAGGCGTGGAAAATGAAATGAAAATTAAAAAAAATAGTAACCCCTTGCACAAAAGAGGGATTAATTAAAAATGTAGATATGGGTATTGCTGCATCTGCAGCGGAGGGTATGGCTTGAATGAATAGAGAGATGCGCGAAAAATGTGCGGTCGTTTTTGTTTCTTCCCGTTCTGTGAGATAAAAACGTCCTCATATCTTTCTCTCGGCGCCCTTTGTAGGGAAATTCAGCGCTAGTTTGCCAAGCTCGTGATGTTTTTTCACTGCTGACACGAAGGATGCGAACAAAAATTTTTCAATTCCACGTGAACGCGTTACGCGACAGCCTCATCTCGCATAGTAATGTATGCACGCGTCGGCCTCGTTTCGGCCTCTTTTCCTTTTTTTTAAATTTATTTTATTTTTTTAAATTCAATACCTTTGCAACGGCTCTTGTGTCGAATATACCTTAAATCACGTTGCATCATTGGATGGTTTGCTGGTTGATTTTTTTTAAAGGCTCTCTAACTTTGTTTCATCGGGTATAGTACCATCGGTGCTGCCGTGCGTTGCTTACATTTAATTAAAAAAAAGACACTTTGACGCTGCGTTTAATTAAAAATACTTTGTTCGACGTCACGGGGAAAAGGAGTATTTTTATGAGAAACAAAAAGTGCGAATAATTTTTTTCATCCCGAAATATTTATAACGCGTGCCTTTGCACATTTACACCCACACATATTGCGCTTAGCTCATAAAAAGAAAAATTTAATATAAACCCCTACGAGATCTTTGCTCGTGTGCATACATTTCAAAATTTGACCTTAAATTTTTCAGATTGTTCATCCAAAGAGCGACGGGCAGCGACAGCGGCTCAGCGAAAGTGTCAGGAACATCTTCCTCTTCCGTTCCCTAGACAAGGTGGGTACTTGTTCGGTAGTTGCTCAATGAATAAATGATACTCCCACCTTCAAGGAAAAGAAACGGAATGCATGAAAATCGACGCAACAACTGCCACTACGAGTCGATACATTTTGAATTCTTCATGCGTTTGTTTCGCAGGAACAAATGGCAGGTGTGCTGGACGCGATGTTCGAGAAGACTGTCAAGCCTGGGGAATTCATTATCCGGCAAGGTGACGACGGGGACAATTTTTATGTCATTGAGAAGTATGCACCTTTTTCTTCCTCCTCCTACTCTTCTACTTCGTTTGTTGCTATGTACGGGCTTTTTTTTCTTCCTCTTCTCGTGCTCCCTCGCAATGACGACTTGTCGTGAATGTCGCGACTGAAATTGCATTTTTGACGCATCATCATTTTCAACTTCTCTATTAAATTCTCAAATATCTGGACTTCAAGTTTAATTTCATCTTTCATGATGATGAGAAATATTTGCAATTATTTTTTTTTTTAAGTCATGTAATCATGATTACGTTAAATATTAAATAACGTTTTTGATCTATCGTTGACTTATGTTAATCACAGACAATAAAATGTATAAAATTATTACTATTTTTTTTTGCTCTCTCATTACAGAGGACAATACGAGGTTTACGTAAAGGACGCACTAATTCATACTTACGATAATAGCGGTTTCTTTGGTGAACTGGCTCTTTTATACAACATGCCTAGAGCTGCCACTGTCAAAGCCAAAACTCCGGGCACACTGTGGGCCATGGACAGGCAGACTTTCCGTCGTATTCTTCTCAAGTCTGCCTACAAAAAGCGTAAAATGTACGAGGATCTCATTAATAAAGTACCAATGCTCAAATCGCTTGAGGTGAGTTGACTCGTGTTATCAATGAATCTTTGAAAAGTACAATGCATTTTTTCCTTCATTGGCACCTTCTCGATGTATTCGGCAGAGTTACGAACGACTGAACTTGGCTGATGCTCTTATTCCGAAACAATTCGATGACGGGGAGCAAATCATTAAACAAGGCGATAATGCTGATGGCATGTACTTTGTTGAGTCGGGTGTCGTTAGAATCACGATTCTTGGTGAGAATGGACGAGAAGTCGAGGTAAGCAAGTTAATTAATGTTAGGATAATTAATATTAAATGACACAAAGTTTATTTAATGTGATTCGTTTAATTAAATTAAAAAATAACTTGTAGGTAAATCGCATACCAGCTGGTGGCTACTTGGGTGAATTAGCACTGGTTACACATAAACCTCGAGCAGCTTCCGCGTATGCTGTTGGCAACGTTAAATTGGCCTGTAAGTTGAAACTCATTCAGTACATTAAATCTCACGAATGTGCAATCCGGTAGTACGTGGGGTGTATTGATAAGAGTATGCTTTTAAGATAATATAATTCTAGACTTATTTTTCCTTCGTTGCTTATGAAAGAACGGGATCCCGTGTTTTATTGATATAACTTACTTTCGATAGTCTTTATTCATTACGCGATTGCCAATCATGTTCCCTACTATTTTCAGTCCTGGATGTAGAAGCATTCGAGCGTCTCTTAGGCCCTTGCATGGAACTCATGAAGCGCAATATTGACGATTACGAGGATCAATTAATCAAAATCTTCGGCAGCAAAACTGAAATATCCGATGTCCGATGAATCAGTGCGTACGCCACAATCCGTACCATCGCTGTATGAAAATAAAGAAAAATCTTCAATTCCACAGCGAAGCACAAACTCTTTACTATTCGTTTGTGAATCTTCATCCGCATACTTAAACAAAAAGAGTCTTTAAGGGAAGCTCTTTGACTGTTCACTAGACTCTGTATCATCCATCCGATCGTTAAGTAGCTGCAGCGTTTATATTTACTATCTCGTTATGTATTATTTTTTTTTTATTATAATTATTACTATTATATTATGTTATTATTATTAGGCCTAAAATGGCAGACGAAAAATATTACAAACACATAGTCCTCGAATAAGTACGATGCGCCCAATAAGGAATATTCATAAAGACTGTATTAGATTGGAAAGTATTACAGTTTTTTATACACGCGTATATAACACACGACACATTTGGTTCATGATTAAGTTGCAAGTGCCATTTTTGATGAATGTGCACTCACGCACATAGACACACGTATTTATACATATATTGATAAACCTTCGTTGTTGCAGTTGACTATATTGCCATATATGTAAGAACGGAAAAAAAGGTTAAATTTAAAATAGTTGCGAAGGTAAATTATACTTTTATTAAAACACAATCGGTGCTATATCATACTGTTCCATGCAGACACGTCTAGTGAGCCACTGATAGAGTTTTATTTATTACACACTAAATGAATCCAAAGGCATACTTGTTATTGAAAAAAAAAAAAAATTAAAAAAAGCAAGTTTAAGATTTCATTGCCATGAACGTACTAGAGTAACCAAAAAAGAAAAACATGCTGAGTTTATGTCAGGACAAACTTGGTGATATACTCGGAACATATCACATTCTCCCTGCTACTCATGTGTCTTCTCCATTTCCTCTTATTAATTGATAGTGTGTCTTTCCATACATTCATGTACCGTCGCTCCTGTCATTCCTCATCTAAACCTCGTTATATCATTATGGTTTTTGAATAATATTAGCCATGTTCTTTGTAATTTTTCAAAAGTCATTAACAAATCTCTTACTTTAAACAACTAGTCGTTAGCAGTAACTCAACACTTTGTCATTTCCAAAATTGTTTATCGTCCATTCCCATAATCTTTATTGAGCTGGTAATTTTAATCTTTGAAATAACGCTCAAAATTAGATGTAATTGTCAAACAAGGAAAGTTCAAAAATGCATAACGCGCACCAAATGAAGGTCTCTTTGATTAAAATTTTTATAATCAGTGTTAAGTAGATATATATATGATTTTATTAGATATTTCACTTTACATTTTAAAATGAAAAAAAATGTTAACATTCCTATTTGGCATATTTTGGAAGGCAAATTCAAGGGGACAGGAAAAAATGTCATTTACACCCAACAAAGATATTAATCTATTGAAAATTCCTTTAAACTCTTGCAGTTGAATGACAAATAAAAAGTAATCTACGATTTACTTTTTATTGGGTGTACACTAAAAAAATTTTATTGTGATTTTTTGTTATTTTATTTTACTTCTTGTGTTATTTATGGTAATCTATTGTTTTTCGCAGAAACAATAGAAATATTGTTATGGAAATAATAGTTAATCTTTTTCTTTAAGAAAAAAAAGAATGTTTAATAATTATATATTTGTTGCCTGAACTTGCTTTATGTTTCTTACACAAATCTCCTGGATATCGTAATTTGGGAGTAAAACTAGGTGAGATGATTTTCCGCTCAAGTATGTATGAGAAAAGAATGTTTTTGCGTAAACCGACATTAAAAGAAAAATATATCTTTGTTTCTAACAAGAGTAAAGTGCGGTTGAAGCTTAAAGTGTAAAAACAATTTCTTATTTTATGGTTTGATCAAGAAACAAAATAATTATATGTTATTTATGCAGAAATGCAGAGAAAAAAAACTTATACTTACGAGGCTAAATAATTTTTAGTTAACAAAAGAGAACAGAATAATCGGTGTGAAGTACAAAAGAGAGTTTTTTGATTTTGTCAGACTCGTATCTCGAGAGTTTGATGGTGTTAATGATTCAATTGATATAATGCCAAGACGCGTGCGCATTGCTATGCGGCATATTAAAAAGTGACAGCGCTAAAAAAGTGATCTCAGTCATCGATTCCCTTCGTTATTTTCATTTACAATAATAATCATGAAACAGTCTTATTTACTCGTTTGGAAATGTATTTTTTAGTTGCATCGTCATCTTGAGATGAGATCGTTTCTTACAACAATTTTAAGTAAAGCAAATAAAGGAAATCGGTCGCTGAGCATACACTTGTTAAGCAGAAAAAACTGACGCAAAGAGCTAGAATACATATAACTGCTTATGCAAGTAAAACATAAAATTGAGTCTCTCCAGCTTAGATATCCTCGTCGCCGGGACGAGGACGTTGTAGGGAATTGTAGGACAATCACTTCTGTTGTTACAATCGACTTAATCAACACACATATATTTTCACGTACACACAGATGCAGCATCATTTTTTTATCTTACTCTTTTTTCGCTGATTTTGTTTGTTGCTCCATCATCATTTTACAGTAATTTGATCACAAAATAAAATAGCATTTTTTTTTAAACGCGGATATCGTGCTATGCTGTGCTCATTTTTTAAAATCAACATTTTTTCTTTCAAATACGTACTTACTGTATATTTATCGGTGATTTTAAACAAAAATTATAGCTTTGAATGGTAGTTATAAAATACCGGAAATTAAAGAAAAAAATTATCGAAACGATTATCTGAACATTATTTTCTTAAAATTTTATACTTCTACACGGATCTCTATCAATTAATATAACGAATTGGAAACAAAGAGAGAAAAAAAACTTATTTTCACTTTAAAAGGTCTGCGGAACAAGTAGCGTGTTGACACGAAAAATTGATTTAAGCTAAAAATTTCCTTCTTTGCCAAGTCTTGTTATCGAGCAGAAATAAATGTGCTATTAGCGTTAGTTAATTAAAAACAATTGAGTTCTTAGTTAAGAGTTCAGCAAGCTTCGGAAGAGAATTTTGAGTACAGAAAAAATTTTTTGTACGTGTAAATACGCTGGTGCACCATCAAAAAGCAAAAGAAAAATCAGACAGGCTAATTTAACAACGACTTATGAGTTTCAATGCTGTAAAAATAGTCATCTGACTTCAAAATCCTAACGATACTTTCACACATTTGTCTTTAACTCTTAAGTGAAGCCTTGACCACTTCCGAATTCTATATATACAAGGTGTCGACGCATAGAGAAGGTATACACGAATGAAAGAAGAAAACAACGCAAACTAGAACAAAAAAAAGTGTTGAGAATGTTGATAGTAAAGGGATAAATAAATTATTGATAAAACATAAGTGTTGAGCTATGTTAAAAAAAAAAAAAAAAAAAAGTAAACATGTATTACAATGCGAACAATGGTGAAATATCCTGAGGGTGTACTGTATGTGTATCTGTATAAGTTTCATGTGACAAAGTAACGAGAAAAAAGGTGAAAAGTCACAAATACGAAAATCGTCGTAGATGCACGAGCGTAAAAAAAACTGTCCCTATCTCGTGGTATAAGTAATTTATCGAACTGTGCATAACTTCTCACGGACTCTATGAACCATCGCCCAATGAAAAAACTCCACAAATATGCATGTAACTATAAATATTGAAAAAAAAAAAAAAAAAATTAAAATAAACAGAGACTCCAGTTAGCAAAGTGCAAATGTGGTTGACAAATGAGCATCAAAACTCTCGTATCCATTTAATTAACAAACGACTGCCTGCTGCCTCTCAGCTGCCCCGCATCTCTCTCAAGCGCAAAAAGAAATGTATAAACCACAAACGTTTATTGTATGTGCTTCTGTCGTACTTTCATGAACCCCTGATGAATTTTAACAATATCGATTTCATTGCCTCCGGGGCGGATGCGCGCGAGCTCGGGGCTTTTGAGTCGCTGTGCGACGGCCCATCCGCGATTCGTCCCCGAGTTAAAAGAAACAAACAAAAAATCAACTTTATCTGATGATCAGGTATTATAATAATTACTATTATTATTAAGTGCCGAAAAGCCGCATTAAACGTATATACCAATGAAACAAATGCATGTACGATATCATGAAAATTCTCACACGTCTTTTTCTACGCGCGCGCTCATCGTTCTCTCTCGAGACGCTTAATAAGTGTACAAGCTGTGCGCGGGCTGTTTTTACATTGTATTTTTTCATACGAAAATTCGACAATGCTCGGGCTGGTCAAAACTGCTTTTGTGACATCGTGAACAAAAAAAATAATAACGTGCCCCCGTCCCCTCTCGCGCCTCTAACTCGAAAAAGCTTGCATTTTTTGCTGTATAAACTATGTGTAGGTATATAAGTGAGTATGCATGGTGTGTTGAAATGCTTTATTTATAATGAGTATGATCCTGTGAACTGTAAAGTTTTCACTGTGGATACGACGTAGACGTTGGAATTGCCACATTTTTTTGTACGTGCATCCATCCCTCGTCCATTTCAAAAATACTTTTATCCTTTTATGGTTAACTAATAACACACGAGTACATGTACAAAAACAAAGGATATTTTTTACTGTCCCAAACTCAGCGCAGTGGAATTATTTTTAATCCATAACAATTGAAAAAAATGTACAATATAATATCAGTTGAGATAAAACCTTAGTGAAACATCAGATTTTTAAATATTATCGTTGTTTCCAATAAAAAGTATAAATTAATTGTACAAACTCATATTTTTTAATACACATGAGTCGTTTTGATTCATATGTGTTTACTTGAAAATACAGTTTTTAGTAATAATTTTCATATGTCATTTACAAACAGTTACAAAGTATTAGATGCTGCTGAGTTATTTGACGTATTTTTGTTAACAGCAGTTGATTGTTTAATAGTTGAAAAGGGTGTATCATTAAAATGTTTTTTCGAATTTAACAATAACAAGTATTGTCATCCACTGTAGCGTAACTTGAATGACGAAATAATTATTTTCTACAATTATATTTACCTCTGAATCTGAACACACGCTAAGTCCTATGTAACTTACATATTATTAAAAAAAAAAAAAGAAAAAAAAAGAGTCTATGAAAAGGAACATGTGTTTACATATCGTATGTTTATTGCGTTACTAAGTGGAGAGGGGGAAAAAAAAGCGAGAAAATCAAGGTTTCCGTGGTATTGAGAAAAAAGAAAGATATGAAATAAAATATAAATGTGCGTCATCCCATTGAACATGTTATGTATCCTCCCCCACCTTTCTCCTTCTCGTGTATAAATCCACGTCAGGAAGCGAATCGCGAACGAGCCGATCGATCCCGTCGTATATTATGTATCTATATAACGTGTATCCCTCAAAGTTTGAGAGACTGAAATTTCATTCTATTCGAGGTGGAATGTCGCTTCGACCGAGTAATTTTATTCTTGAATGTTTTGAAAAAGATGAAGTGCGTCAATAAGTACGTAACAACAGTTAAAGAAAACAATGCGATGTTAGCAACTCGTCCGCAATAGGATAACAATTGAACAAGCTCTACTGTATTGAAAATGAAAAAAAAAAATATATATCTTCATTTATCCATTCTGTTTTAAAAAGTTCAAAAGTAATTGAGATAAATGGCAAAAAATGAAATAATGTGTGTGCACGCGCGCGTGAAAGGTATTGTAAGCCGAAGTACTTAATAATACTCTTTTTCTTTTCTCACCGCTATCATACACACATGCGATTATTGACGGAAAAAAGACAAATGAAAGATAAAGAAAAGAAAGAAAAAAAAATTAACAATAACTTTAGGATGTAAGCAAACTACTGTGCAATTCGACTTTTCAGCTGGTCTGTAGTCGAGTTTCATAATATCTCGTTTGTTATAATCGAAACGATTTCTGCGTTAACCATTCCCAGCCCTAATACCCCATTCTCCTAATCCTTAACTTCCTCTCCCTGAATCCTCTTACCCGCGAGTATAATTCAGCGTCGATGAATTAGAAAAAAAAAAATTACTATTAATGGTAAAATGAGACGTTGGCAAAAAAAGTGAAAATGCGAGAAGAACAAGAACCACATTTTATGTTTATTGTGTCGCCCTCCTGCCTTCTATAGGTATAATATATTATATACTATTAATCGAAACATGATTTTATAATTTTCCTTTCACAAGTTATATAACACACATGAATTACGTAAATGGTTCGAAAGCCGGTCGATGTATCACGTGCAAGGATGCAACGACACAAGCTGCGACCTTATTCAAGAAGTGAGCAATCATGAGTATATGATATAAATAGATAGTGTAATGAAAATTAATATATAATAAATATGTGAGTGGAACCTACAAAAAAAACCTTAAAATATCGTTGGTTTATTTCATTTTTTTTTTTTTTCGTACCCCACGTGTATTATAAAATACGTAACAAAAGTGTTAACAGTTTTCATTTATAATGAATTTAATAATATTATTCATCATTACTTAATTACTTTGGATTGGTATTGGTCCAGTACAATCACAGGAATAGTTTGTCTGATGACAGACCGCGAGATTTCCGCATATTTTGTGTATTGTTCCAAAAAGTATATTCCAGTTATACATTCCATTTCATTTTCATTGGTCATTTTTGTACTGAAAAGAGTAGAATTTAAATATTCATCCATATTATTTTACATCCAAATCTTATACAAAAATATGAAATAAATGTACATACCAATCGGATATCACGAGAGATAAAATATATTCACCAACGTGTTCAACGTATTTATTCACTTGTGTTATTCCAAATTGCTTCAAGATAGATTGGACACCCATGATAAAGATTATGGCGTCGACTGAGTCTTGAATTTTCTTACTCATAAGACTAACTAAAAATTGCAATATAACTAGTAATTACATGAATGCTTATAATAATTAAGTACTTTAACTTACAACTATTTTTGTCATAGTAAAGTTTATGTATCTGTGGTACTGTGAGAAGATACATTATAAATGCCATGTTGCTGACTTTTGGAGGTTGAATGTAAGTTTTATTAGTTACATCAGTAATACCGGCCCATTCCAATCTAACACTGAGTTCATTTATAAATTCTGCTTGCTCCGGCGTTATTTCTTTGTCTTTAATCTCTTCTAATACTGCTCTATCGTGAACAAAAA